TACTCCTAATGAATATTCTACACTGCAATGCTCTCTCAAGAGACTACCTCTAGTACTAGTGAGCAATGAGTGGGGTCTAGTTGACTGAACTTAAAGCACAGCAAACAATGACTTGTGTGGAGCCTTTTCCCTGGGAGGAGCAGAGCCTCGACCACTCCGGCTGCATGAAATTCCTTGGAGTCTTAGTGGAAACGTGCGTGGTTGTTCATATGTTAGACCTTTATGAAGCAACGTAATGAATATGGAGAAAAAATTCACGGGTGTTACGAAGGCCTAGTGAATGCTTCCTACCTTATACGTATGGTTAAAAGTGTTAGCATTCGCTATGTTCAGGGCCACACCTTCGAGATTGATCTCACATTTCGAAATCGATCCAATTTCATCCTTTTGGACTCCATTAAGAAAATCGTTATGGCATTCGCAATGTCTGATAGAAGTGTCACGGGTACCAGCACGCCACATCCAGCTTCGGCGGCAGAGCAACTCGGTGATCTTCTCACAATCAACCGTGACGCACTCACTACTCTAGCCGTTGAAGTCCGCCGAAAGCAAAACATAGACACATTTACGACTGCGAGTGTGCTTTCCTGTCACAAAGGCAGTCGTAATGTGATTCATGTGGTGGAATTCGACGACCAGATGCGTTATATTATCCGCCTACCCATCAGCTGCCGTCCAGGTCACTGCACAGAGACTGCCAAGAGTGCCTTGGTTGCGAAGGTGGAAATGATGCGGTTTATCCAAAAGCGAGCCCATTTCCCTATGCCAGAAGTATACGACTTCGATGCCTCGCCAGAAAACATTTTGGGTACATCGTACATCGTTGAGAGTTTCATCCCGGGAACCCTGGTCTCGGATGCCTGGTTCGACAACTCAGGCACGATGACATTGGACCAGAAACGACTGCGCATACTGGACTGTGTTGCAGAGACCATGGCAAAGCTGCACAGATTTTGCTTCGACGGAATTGGTACGTTGGGACCAGATGCCCATGGCGATCTTCGGGTGCTCCCATGCTACTATTCGCGAAAAGGGGTGGGGACTGATGTACAGTATGCGGAGTATGGCCCTTATGAGTCAACCGTGGACTTTCTGCGCGAGCGTCTCTTGATCTCGCCCGGGGGCACAGAAGAAGAAGGCCCGTTTGACGTTGGCTGCCTTATAATGCTGGAAATGATGATCGGTTGTATGCCATTGTCAACCTGCCAGAAAGACGAGGCGGATGAGACTTTCGTGCTTGCAGTGCCGCAGTTCGACTCCGTGAACATTCGTATCGATGAGCAGTGTAACGTGAGTGGAATCATTGACTGGGATGGGGTGCAGACCATGCCACGGTTCCTAGGCTACGCTACATTTCCTAAGTGGATTATGAGGGATATGGACCCAGTAGAGCGTGGATTGTCTTTGGAATCTCAAGAGGATTCGGCGGAGCAGCTGAGATGGTACCGGCTGCTATATAATCGCAAGATGCAGGGCCTTCTCAATGGGGTTGGAGATGCGAGATTTGTGAATAAAACGCACATATTCGCGTCGATCTTGCTTGCAATCGACAATCCCGCGGCCCGAAAGGAAATCGTTCGGACGCTAGTTGGAAAGGTATATCCGGCGAATCTGGAAAAGGCAACGCGTTTGATCGAAGATGCAGGCAATGGGGAACTCTTGCGGCAGGACAGAGAGCGATTGCTGGGAGGCTTTGAGCTGCTTTTTTCAATTTCACGATAGCCCACAGAAAGACCGATGATTGCACACATTCTTACTTTTGGTGGTTGGTGCTTGGTTGGTGCTTGGTTGATAGTTTGGAATGGGGCAGTTAGCAGGTTGAGAGTTGTAGAGGTTGGAACATACTGTGATGGTAGGTGGTTACCCCCAAGCTTCAATGTGGAACCATGTAGGAAAATCCACTTTCTTTCTTATATGCAATGACAGTGCAGAAACTACACCCGGTCTTCCTGCAGACATAGTGTTTATGTTCAACTTAATAACATTGCTGCGCAAGCGCTGCTCCGATGCAATTTGTACTTGACCTTCCCCAGGTTCATTCTGATCGAAGATTTAGAGGCTTGCCTATTACCAGTCACAACCCATAGTAAATGTTGTCAATCACAAGGACCCCAAAGTGAACATTACAGTAGAGGAATGTATACGGAGTAGACAAGAAGCATCGGAGGGAGAAGAGTGCCTCCTTATTGTTCAACTAGTACTCATGAACCGCTATTATTTTGTTGCAAAGTATTATTGCAAAAGACAGTACGGTATAATGAAGTGGTGAAATGGTCCACTGGGGTATGTATTCCTCCATGTTGGCTCAAGGGATGTGTTCGTCTGAAAGGTGGGCGTAACAGAGTTCGCTCAGCTGCGCCAAGGGTGTGACGAGCACCGGTGTGCTTAGTATTCTCCTTCTGATGGATGTTAGACCTAATCACATGGTTTCAAGTAGTAGTTACATCCCCGCATCTTTCAGTCCACTTTGATGAGGCTTTTCTGCCCATGATGATGATAGTATGACTATGGCGACTGCATCCTAGAGATGTTGCTCTTTCACGACCCGCGGCGTGGATAGTTATCTCAATAAACCTAAATACAAGGAATGCTTTCTACCCTGTCTCTTGTTCACTGAAAAAGCATCCAGTTATAGTTCCGGAGACTATCTAAAGTACCTTCAGTTTCTATATAGGTTGGCCAATGGCTCTTGAATTACTTTACGTTGTGGCATATGATGATAACCACTTCTTTCCCTACTATATATTTGGCCATGCCCCTGGAGAAGAAGCACACTGGTGCGGCTGAGCGAATTCGAGCGAACTTCCTCATGACGATCCTTCCAATAAACTTAAGTGCCACTGCAGGGAAATGGAAAGGAGAAATGGTATTTTGAATATACTCACATAAGATCAATAAAATCGTTTCTTTGGATGATGCTAGGTTGCAATTTAGTGTAGTAATGGGGGGACACTAAGTAGATTCGATAAGCTTACCCGAATTGTTGTCATCCACCACTAACTCGGGCACGGGACAAACCCCATGGGCAAGTGGAACTCCAGAATCAAGAAAAATTCTCGTTCCCGAACCTATTCCCCCATCCCACCACATTCCATCTCATGTCGATCTTTATGATCAAATTCTCCTGTCCCTAGACTAGCATGAAGCGGCCGTCATGTTCGCCCAAACTATTCTTCTGATCCTCCTGCCTCTGGTTGTTTCTTACTTCATAACCCGGATCCGCTACTCCCGCTTCAAGAAGTATGCTGACTGGCCGCAACTACCCACCTCCCTCGTCTGGGGGCACATGAAAGCGCTCCACGAGTTTATTGTCCGAGGTGAGGAGAAAAGACACATCGGTAGGCTGAACTAGAACCCTCATCGTTGTCAGTATAGGATGGGTATAGTTGACGATAACACTGTCGATTAGACATCGTGTTTGGCGAAATCCAGGAACATTTGGGGAATCCTCCTCTCATGTTTTTCGATCTCCGGCCTGTACAGTTTCGGCTGTGTGTGGTCGGAAGTCATGAGGTCGCAGAACAAATCTCCCGGAGTACCAAGAGTTTTCCGTATGGTATGAAGAAGTCGCCCACTATGGACGCGCTGGAGCCTTTGTTGGGCCCGTATTCCATTATCACGCAGGAGGTAAGTCCATACTCACTGGCTTAATTTGTATGTTCTTTTTAAGATAACCAATGTCATTAGGGAGAGCACTGGAAGAGTCTACGCAAGCGGTTTAACCCAGGGTTTGCGCCTCAGCATCTCGTTACCTTGCTGCCGTGTATCTTGGACAAGGCGATACAGTTCACTGATATTCTTGACGCGTACGCTCGTAGCGGAGAGGAATTCTCCCTTGATGAGAGATGCGTCAGCCGCACCTTTGATATTATCGGTAGGCCACACATCTATCTCAATGTGGCACGCTTTTGTTCTAACTACCCCCCCAGGCGCAGTAACCATGGACAAAGACTTCCATGCCCAGCTCGACCCCAGTAAACAGGATGAACTCGTCCGCCTCTACCGTGAGCTAACGACTTCATACCGTAGCGGTAGCGGTATACAGTGGGGCTGGCTGGACCTCCGAGTACTGTGGCGCCGACGAGTCCTGACCCGACGCATCGATCATCTGATATCTGAGCATATCAAGACAAAGTTTGCCGAGCTCAAGTCCAAGTCGACGGAGAAACGCTCCCGGAGTGTTCTTTCCCTAAGTCTACAGGACATCGACCAACTAAATACCCGTGTCATCCAGGAGACATGCCACCAGCTCAAGAGCTTCCTTTTCGCTGGCCATGATACCACCAGTATCATATTGCAGTGGTCCTTCTATGTCCTCAGCCGCACCCCACGCGTGCTGGATAAAATCCGCAGCGAGCTAGATGACCTCTTTGGACCAGATCCATCCCCTGCAGCCGTGCAAGAGAAATTACTTGCCCCGGGCGGAGACGACCTCCTGAAGCGGATGTCCTATACTTCTGCTGTGATCAAGGAGATTCTGCGGCTGTACCCACCATCCGGGTCCGCAAGGTACATGCCACCTGGCACAGGATTCACCGTGCAGTTACCAGACGGGAAGACTCTCTGTTTAGATGGAGTGGTCATATATAACAACGCGACACTCGTTCAGCGGGACGAGAAAGTTTATGGACCGACAAAAGATGAATTTATCCCAGAGCGGTGGTTGGGAGACGCGGATACCGGCCTAGGATTGTCCACGGATAAGGGGAATGGTCCGGTCGCAACCGCTCGTATTCCCGCCAGCGCGTGGAGGCCATTCGAGCGCGGCCCGCGCAACTGTATTGGTCAAGAGCTAGCCAACCTGGAGGCCCGGGTAATCCTGGCGTGTACGGTCCGGCGCTTCGATTTCGAGAAGGTGGGGGTGGGCGCAATTGCGCGGGATGCGACTGGGGCGCCTATCTTGGATGCCAAGGGGCAGTATGAGGTGGAGTCAGAGTTGTTTAATGTAAGTTCTCGTCGATTTTCTAGTTGTGGGCATCGTGGCTTACTTTGGTTTTCAGACTATGCAGGTCACCGCGAAGCCTATTGATGGAACGGTAGTGAAGGTTCATCTTGCTGAGAGAGCTACCTAATTTTGCGGATGATGGGTGCTACTGCAGGTGGGTGCTATTAGCGATGCTCTTCTTGGCCATCTTTTCTTGCTACTAATCGCTGTATAAATTTCAAAACATATATATATATATATATATTCTCTTCTCTACATCAGATGCTAAATTGACTAGCTAACTCAATTTCATGACATCATTCATTGACCCTGAGCCCCCAAAAGACCAAGAGCTTGAGGAGCGGTAATGCGCTCCGAAGGCCGGAATTCCAGCAATGCTCGGATGATCGGTACAAGAGGAGCAAGCTCTGGCTCAGCCACTTCTTTATCGAAGCGGTCCTCCAGGGTGAATACCTCATCTCCTATTTGGGAATCAGCATATTTTTAAACAGGTGCAGCAATAAGCATTGTTATCAGGATAAATCCAACCCACCTTGGAAATCCATCATATCTCCTGCTTCTTCTCGCATGCGGTCCCAGGTAGCTTGCCATTCCTGGGGTAACTCCCCCAGAAGGTCAATCATCTGCTCGACCACTACCATATCCTCTACATCGGAGTCAAAAGGGTATGTCCCGAAGACGAAAAAGAATAGCTGCAGTTCTGTCAGTATCTTTTTCGAGATTTCGTCTTGATTATCCACATACCATGCAGCCCGTATGCCACAGGTCAGTCCTGTGATCAGACCTTCCAGTAAAGATCAACTCTGGAGCCCGCGAAGGTCCCGGTTGCGCGAGTATCCGCGACTTCTCTTCCTGCGCAAACCCTTCTCCAAGGTCGAAGATGCGAAGCTCCTCAGCAAACTCTTCTAGCCAGTCCTCCCAACTCACCGGTCCGAAAAGAGCCGCTGGGAAGCCTTTGTGCAGCGGAGTACCATCGAGGTGGGTCACTGGTTCGTGCTCTGGCGAGCCAAAGACCGCAAAGATGATCTTCTCCGATGCATAGGATAGATTCCTACCGCTGAAGACGATGTTTCTGCCGCTGATGTCTGGTGTGACTTAGTTAGGGAAACACTCAAAGCTTAATCAACAGGAAGAGCTTACCTATCTGCCCCACCCCCGCATTATGGACCAATTCAATGGCTTTGAGGAGCTGCCTCGACAAGCGAAGAATGGTCTGTGGATCGAGGGAATCCGAAAGCTCGCGGTAGTCAGTGATGATGCGATCGATGGTAGGACCGATCAGCTCGAACACGAGACATTGGTGGATGCCGTTGGGGCCTGGCTGAATGAAAGCGTCCAGCAGGTGGAGGATGTACTTGGACGAGAGATCGTCTGGAGCGGCGATCTTCTCCAGCTGCTGGAGGTTTTGGAGTTCTTGAGAACTGCACGAAGTGTCTGCGGTTTTGATCTTCAACGAGACCCATCGGTGTCGCCTTTGACAAGTTGTCAGTGTTTATCCATGTGGTTTGGGACAAGAAGGCATTTGTGGCGCACAGATTGTCATGGGCAAGCCAGACGGTGGAGAATCCTCCCCACGCGAGCTTGTGATGTATGGTGTAGCGATTATCTTTGAAAGTATCGCCGATGCGGACGGGATGGTATCCGCCAAACTTGTATCCCGAGAGAGGCTCCTGTGTGTAGAGAATGTCGCTGGGGTATTCAAACGATGAATCTTCCATGGTTGAGAGAGGAAAAGTGATGATGAGAGAAGATGAAATGAAAGAAAATCGAGGGAGTCCGAGGAGGGACAGTCCGCGTTAAAAGAACCATTGCTGGGTTGAGATGGGGGGTAGCAATCCCTGCCATTGTGAGTAGCAAGCGCCCTCCCACTAATCGGGACGCCAGTAGATGGCGCTGTGCAGGGAGTAACATGGGTTATGTTGGATCTATATTGCTCGCCATTACCCGCGCACCTTCTCAGCCCTCTTCCCTTTCTATAGTTAGTTCGGCCAACAGTTGCATTCTCCGATTTCCAACAGTCACATTCTTCACCATCCAATGATACCCTGAACCGTGGACAGGCAGCTGTCAGATGGATTGAAGCTGAGATTCTCTCCACTTTTTGATTCCCATGGAACGGGGCCCACCGCCATGACGCAAAGCGGTGACCATATACTGCCGGCACAATCAGGTATCCATTTTCAACTAAACTCATTGGCATTATTTCCCGATCGGGACCGGTGGAGGCCCCCGTCGCCTTGTTAATTGTTCCCACTCGTTCCCAGCCACACAATCTTTGGGCAGAGAGTCGAGTCGGTTGCCCCCCGACAATTAGTTTCGTGCTTAGTGCTTTGTGTATTTAGGTGCCGGTATGATCTGCAGTTGATCCCGGTCGTTTCCCTTCTGTCACCTTGTCGGTTGACTTATCACGGAGCTCTTCCGATAACGTTCCTTCGGGCAGCTTGTGTTGCACATAGTTCTGTCCGTAGAGACGATAGTATATACTACTTATGTATGTGCAATTCATCCCTGCCAATATTTCCGACGCTGACAATGACTCAGTTCTAGGAACTGCGACCTCATGTTGTCAATACCTTTGCTGGCCTGCATCCTCGGGCTGTCAGTCGCAGGACAAGCCTCCGCAAGCAATGTCTCCATTTCCAACGACTCCCAAGATACAGATTCGATTATCCAACACAATGCCCTCATCGAGTCATATCTATCTCAGAAGTCTGTTCGCGGAGTCCATAAAATGACCGATGACGAAGGGGAGAAGTTCTACCTCGACTACTGGCTGTTCGACGAAGCCTATACAGCAGGCAACACATCAAACGCCAATGGTTCGTTATCGCAAACACAGCCTTATAATCTCGACACAACTGAAAAAGTTGACTTTCAGCCTCGCTCGTATCCCTTTCGACCCTCCTACCCGAGCGACCTTGAGGTCGAAAGGCGCGGGTGGAGTGAACATTTCTCACCGCTTCTTCGGCGAGAATTCAAATGCCCTTCCGGCACGTACGGATGCTCATCGATCGACCGACCCGAAAGCTGCTGCAGTACGGGCGATACGTGCGTCCTAGTCAAGGACACTGGATCTGGAGATGTAGGCTGTTGTCCGAAGGGCGAGACATGCTCGGGTACGATTGGATCGTGCCAGGACGGATACTCCAGCTGCTCATCGTCTCTGGGTGGGGGATGCTGTATCCCAGGGTACGAATGTGTCACCGGGGGATGTAAGTAGCCTGCATCATCGGAAAATCTCCTTTCTTCGTGTTGCTGTTGAGGCTAACAGCTCAGGTATGCGTGTCTTCACGATCACGGTGACAGTAAGCTCAACCGTCATGCTATCGACGTCCACACATACCATCCCTAAAACCACTGCAACGCAAACGACGGGCGATCTGGTGCCTCCTTCTCGACCTACCACTGTATCTACCGCCACGAACTCCAAGACGACCACGACTACCAGTACGGCATCAGTCTGCCCAACCGGATTCTACGCCTGCTCTGCCGTCTATAATGGGGGATGCTGCAGGACCGGCCGCGATTGCGACACGACGTCCTGCCCGGCAACGCCCTCGACGACTTTCACCAGCGACGGAGTGACAATTGTAGTTCCGGTGGCCACGACTACGGCGTCGACGACAACAACAAGCTCGCCCGGACGATGCGCCACGGGCTGGTTCAGCTGTGCGCAATCCGTCGGAGGAGGTTGTTGTCCGTCGGGATACCAGTGCGGATCCAGCTGTACGGCAGTGTCAACGGCGACGGAGACCGTGGCCAAAGAGCAGGCCACAAGTGGGAGTGATCAATTGCGGCAGCAGTGGGGGATGATGAGCATGGGCATGCTGATAGCCCTGGCGTTATAATGTAAATGTTTTGATACGTAGATCATGAGAGCATGCATAGCGAAATGTTAATGGGCAATGATAATGGCAATGATAATGAAGCGATGAATGCGGTGGCAGGTATAAGTAAGCGTCAAAAGCCCCGTGGGGCGGCACGTGGGGCGGTGTTTTACCCGATCGGGCGACGTCCCGGTGAGTCCCCGACCCTCTCCGACTGCGGCCTCCTCCCTCGATAATCTCATTCTCCATCACTTCTTCCCTCTTTCTTCTTCTCTTTTCCCCTCCCGACTCGTCTTCCCCGTCTGTTGTTTCGTCTGCACGCCTGCTTTTTGGCCAATTCTTCATCATGTCGAACAACAACACCCAGAAGCCTTTGCCCTTCGGCTACCAATTCATTGCCGGTGCCGTCGCCGGTGTGTCCGAGGTACGTATGGTGTGATCCCGTTGCCAGTTCACCGGAGCACGCGACTAACTCTGCAATAGATTCTGGTTATGTGCGCAATTCCCACCCTCAATCGACGCATTTCGACCAGCCAACACTAACCCTTTACCCCCCAGGTACCCCCTGGACGTGGTCAAGACCCGAGTGTAAGCTCTACCTCTCTTATCTCTTCCCAATTGCAATCGATCAATCCCCGCCCACTAACCCATTCCACCCTCACAGTCAACTCCAGAAGGGCACCGCGGTCGCCGGTGAGGAATACTACAATGGCATGTTCGACTGCCTGCGCAAGATCGTCAAGAACGAGGGGTACGCCAATTGCCTTTCCCCCCACCTCCCACTCACAACAAACTAACCCACCCTCTTCCCCCATAACAGCTTCTCCCGCCTGTACCGCGGTATCTCCGCCCCCATCCTAATGGAAGCGCCCAAGCGTGCGACCAAATTCGCCGCCAACGACAGCTGGGGCGCCTTCTACCGCAACCTGTTCGGCGCCGAGAAGCAGACGCAATCGCTGGCGATCCTGACCGGTGCGACGGCCGGAGCGACCGAGTCGTTCGTCGTCGTCCCCTTCGAGCTGGTCAAGATCCGTCTGCAGGACCGCGCCTCGGCCGGCAAATACAACGGCATGCTGGACGTCGTGAAGAAGATTGTCGCCGCGGAGGGTCCCCTCGCTATGTACAACGGTCTGGAATCTACGCTGTGGCGCCACATCCTCTGGAACTCGGGTTACTTCGGCTGTATCTTCCAGGTGCGGGCGCAGCTCCCTGCCGCGGAGCCGGGCAACAAGAGCCAGCAGACACGCAATGATCTGATCGCGGGTACGATTGGTGGTACGGCTGGTACGATCCTCAACACGCCCATGGATGTCGTCAAGTCCCGCATTCAGAACACCTCGAAGGTCCCCGGTCAAGTGCCCAAGTATAACTGGGCTTGGCCGGCCGTCGGAACTGTCATGAAGGAGGAAGGATTCGCCGCTTTGTATAAGGGATTCTTGCCCAAGGTGCTGAGATTGGGTCCTGGTGGTGGTATCCTTCTGGTTGTGTTTACGGGAGTCATGGACTTCTTTAGGAATATGAGGGGCGAGTAAGATCCTACTTCCTTCTATTTCTTGTTCCCCTTTTTGAAAATCAGTCTTTCTTGTTTATTTTCTATATTTCTACTAGAGATAGGGATAGAAATAGACGGGACAAAGAAAAAGAGAGAGAGAGATATAGGGTTGGAAGAGGTTGTTGTTCGTTTCATGATGAATTTGAAAGTAGTATTCCCCCTTTTTTTTCACTTCGATTTCTGCTTGTTCCATAGTAGATACTGGCATATATTGGATGCTACTAGACTCGCACTATCCTGGTACTATATATGCATGCAGGGTGGATAGCTGTATGCACAATAGGAATAAGCAAGTAGAAATGAAGGGAAAAAAAATGCATGTGACGTGTCTGTCTATGTATGTATGGACCCATCCAATGGATCCAGCCCGATCTCACCAGGATTCATGGTACCTACAGTAGTCGGGCAATCATCGTCCGGAGACACTGCATGAGGGCGGGCGCTACGACAGACATCAGACACCCTTGGGCTATCATTTGCTGGTCCGGCTCTTAGGAAATGGGGTCTAGAACACTTCATGTGCCTGTTCGTAGCGTGCAGGACACGTGTTGATCCATCTACTACTTTATCCTTAGTTTTTTATTGTTTGTGGCAGGGCCAATGGTTGCAGAGACTTCCGTTGTAACTTATAGAAAAATGAGCAATGAGTAGAGTTCAAAATTGCATGCACCGAATGCACCATTGTATCAATGAATCAGGCTATGTAAATTAACATGAGAATAGATAGCAGCCGTAAATGACATCCGAAATGGGGTCAAAATAGCCAAAAGGATATTAAGGATTCAATAGCAAAGTGGAAACTGGGAAACTGGGACAATGGGAAAAGGGTATCGATGTAAAAGGGAAGAAAACCAAATGACGCAAGATATGTCGTGTTCCGACCTTGCTCACCGTTATGCGCAAAAGAACAACGAGGAATGTGCAACCCAAGGCAGCTAGCTAGAAATCCAAGACACAAGCACGTAAAGACACTTGACTCAACAAGAAAAGTCCCACCAAGAATTAAGCAATGGATAGAGATAATAACCAAAAAAACCGAGACAACCAATCCCAGGCAAGCATAACGAGAACCACACGCGAGAAATATCAAACAAATGACGAAAAGAAAGTTCAACTGGCCCATTAGCCTTAAATGGTATGCGAAGGCTTCCGTGTACGCCGGTCAACTACCCGTCCGTTTGACGCCCTTGTATGCAATAGCTCATGACATGCGTTCGTTTGAGGAGATGAGAGCTCGAGCGATAGTAAGCGGAGATGTATCTAATTCATCTCCATCGCATACTCGTCTTCCTCCTTGAAGCTCATGCCCGCGTGGCCCGAGCTGCTCCAGTACTGAGCCTGCCCGGAGCCTCCGTTGCTACCGCCGCCGTTGAACGGGGGGCTCAGGCTCTGGGGGCTCAAAGCCCCATTGCCGGCCACAGAGTCCCCTGCCATGTTTGTATGTTTCGGTACTCGCAGCCCGCTCCCGGGTGCCCTGCTATAAGTGAACGAACTAGGGTCGTTCTTCTCCAAAGCATCGAGAATCTCCGTTCTCATCCGCTTCTCCTCCTCAGTTTGCTCAAATGGCCAAGTTCCACCCAAGTTACTGATAATTTCAGCTAGCTCTGATTCCTGCTGGAGCTTAACATGTAGGGCCCACATGAGGTCACGCATCCAGCCGACGGCACCGTTCAGGATGTCGCCCTTGTTCGGGCCCTTCTCCTTCTCCTCAATCGGCAGACCCATCGTGATGTTACCCGCAGTGGCCCGGCGGCCATTGCCTCCAGCCAGCAAAGACGTTGCGGCATTGGGGGTGGCTCCAGTGGCAGACATTGCTGTGTTATTGACAAGCTGTTTCCGGACTTTGTCATCCTCCAAGCGATGCTGAGGAACGAGGTGGGAAAGATCCTGGATGCGCTCGTTGATGTTGTCCCGTCGCCGGCGCTCGACCAGGTTATGGGAGGCCCGCCGACGGCGTCGCTTGGCCTCTTGGGATTCTAAGTCCTGGGCACTGCCGGGCATATGCGCATCAACCTTGGCCGGCAAGGAAGCATGTTTACCAGACTTGAGGATCTCCGAGATTCCCGCGTGGTGAGGGTGGCCAGGAGAGGAAATAGGGGACTCCACGAAAGAATGCGCACTTCCTGGCGTACCGTCCCATTGGTTGGACAGTGTCTTTTGGTGGCGATGCTGAAGGCCAGTCCGGATGGGTTGCGTAGGAAAGCTTCCAGATTCTGGGGTTCCCAGGGTCAAAGCACCAAGGGCTGGGGTCTTCGGAGTCATCGGGCTGCGCGCATCAAGCGAAGCGCGGTCCACTGCCTGCAAAGTTGGGCGGCCTTTGGAAGCCAAATAGCTCTGTTCGAACTGGGATCCACCCTGCAGATGAGAGCCAGGTTGGCCGTTTTGGTTCATGGTTCGGAAGTGATCATAATTGAAGCTGTGCATGAACGGGCTGTTCATGGGAGCTCCATCGGGCGTGTTAGAGTACATCTGAGACATCTGTCCCGGATGACTCATAGAGATCCCGGCACCTGAATGCTGGTCCTGAAGGAAGTTCTGTTGCATACCATTCTGTCCGTTAATCTCCAGGTCCAGCAACTCATCTGTATCGATACCTGAGTTTCCAAAGTTGAAGTTCTGCTGCGATGTGAATGGGTAGGACATAAATCCACCGTTCTGCATACTAAGCTCCGACGGGTCAACCCCTTCGTTGGGGTTGCCGAACTGATTGGACATATAATTCGACTGTGACATCATGAAGTAATTCTGATCACTGCTGCGTTTGTTAGGTTTGTTCTTGATGAAAATGCTCGCTTCCGCCAGTTTCCAAGCAAGCCTAAGCAAGTGCTCGAGCAGAAAGCCGGCTGCGTCTTCCAGGGAAATCTTACAGTTCAAGAGCGAACTCTGGGATTCTTGTGGGACTAGGGGGTTCAAGCACAGTAGACCCCAAGCTCAAGTTGGAGCGAGAAATGCTCCACGTGTGAAGGATCTGCCTCTTCGCAATATGGTCAAGAGGTCCGGTGATAGGAGCGGTGAGTCAAACTCATCAACGAGTTCGGGCAAGTTGCTGGGTGGCGAGGAGAAAATCTGACAGATCGGACAAATGCCTGTTAGCGCTCAATCGAATAGAGAAGAGGCGACATTACAATGAGCCACGATCTAATTCAGGGAGAGGGGAGAGACAGGAGGTGGCTCAGACCACCACAAAACAGGGAAGGTACGGAGTTACCAACCAGAAGAGTGTGGATGTCTACTTCACGAGCAAGAAACTGCGCGGTAGACGCTTCCTGAACGAGGCGAAGATACGATTGGTGCTGAACCCGGGATGAGTTCAAGGGGAATGCGAGGGGTAAGTCGCGATCGGATTTAACTGGTCGCGGTGGGAGAAGTTGTGGTGGGAAGGTAAGATTCGAAAGCGGACGCCTCGGAAAATGCCACTATCGTGGGCGGAGTCCGAAACCCAATAGGCTGCCTCGTTGATTGTGAACCGCACAGAGGAAGATCAGACTGCGCGATGAGGTCTTTGGTAAGCGACCGGGAAAATGGGGAAACTAGCAGCTGGAAAAAAGGAAAGAGCAAGTTAAGAAAAAAGAGCTCAAATCAAGAAACGGAATTGCGTGGCCATAAGCGAGGCAAAATAAAGGGGAGACAGAAAAGAGAGAGGAAGAGAGAGGAAGAGAGAGGAGAAAGCGAAGAGGCGGCCAGATGGGGCCGCGGAGGCGATGGGCTGGAACAATGGGGGAGGGGAAAAGGGTAAAAGGGAAGGGAAAAGGGAAGCGATAAGAGCAATCGGTGCCGGTCAGTGAGAAGAGGAAGATCCACAGAAACGAACAAGATGAGATGAGATGAATGGAGTCTTGTACTTGCACACCGGGGAGATATTGAGTGTGGGGAGGGGGTGGAAAGCGCGCTTCTTGAGAATTATTGTTTTGATGATGCGAAACTGGTCTGGGGTATAGTATGCGACAGAAGATGGGAAGATGGGATGTGGGAGGGGAACGGAGTGGAGGAGGCGAGAGATGGAAGTGGATGGATGCTCTTGATGGGCTGAAAGTGAAACAGGCACCGTGGGGGGCGGCAAAAGAGGGAGGAGAAAGAAGAGGCAAAACCGATCGCTGAGGATTCCCCGGGCGGTAAGACTGTCGGGTAGGCGGTCAGTAGTGGCAGTATGCGGGCGTGGCAGTGGAAATTGTGGAGATGCCATTGATTTGCCCCGGAAATCTGCCACCCGCTGCGATCCATTCCCCCCCCGTCGGCCTCCCCGTGGTTTCCCCTTGTCTTTCGGCGTGCCCTGGGGGTGTTGTCGAGCGAGACATCAACATGGTGTATGTGACTGTGTGACGATAATCATGGCACTGATGCAAAATGTCTCTCCTCTTTCCCCCCCCTCTCCTCCCTCTTCCTTCCTCTCCCCTCTTTTCTTCCTCGCCGATTACCGCCTCCCCGCTTTAGTCCAACCGGGAAGCGCTCTCCGAGTCGGGGTCCGTGAGACAAGAATGAGCCCTCCAAGGTTGCCCCGCGGTAACTCAACCCCTTGGGGATGTCGGAGCAAATTGGAGCATCTCATAGGCGCCTGCTCACTGACTTCCCGCGAACTGTTCGACCTTCAACCCGCGATCAGTGGGTATTACCCTCCCCCCGCCGAGAAAGCATGCAGGGGTTGGAGCCCAACGGCGCTGTGCTGCAACCATCGGTTGTTGCTCTTTCCAGACAACAACTCGGTTGAAGGCATGACAACCCCGGTAATATCTCTGCCGGATATCTCATCCTGGAGGAATGAGGAGTAACCCGTACCCCTCCTTCTTTTTGCTTTGCTTCCTCCGTCATCGGACGTTGAATGTGTTTAGGCTGGCTTGCATCTTTCTTCCCCAAGTAGGATCCTCAATCCCCAGTGCGACCAGGCTTTGAATGGGACATGATGCAGGGCAAAAAACAATCGAGCAATCAAGGAGAATATGCAAAACCATAGAAAAGCTCACTTACTAGGTGTAGATGTATTCAAGGTCAGGTATGAGCGATGATTCTTCCCAGACCTGCACAAGAGGTATAAGTATTAGTCATATCCTTGAGGTTGCGGTGACAAAATTAGTGCAGTTGATAGTGCAACAGTCATATACACACAGTGTACCAGTGGAAGGAATATCCCCACGGAGGTAAGTGAAGGAAAGAAAAAGGAAGAGTAACAGAGACAGAGAGACGTGAGGCTCAAAGTGTCCAGAGACCAGGCAGAAGTGAAAAAGCAAACAAGAGAAGGGAGTAACAATGAAAGCGCTTATGAAGCCAGCCCGCCTTATCTCAGCGGCAGGAGGGGCTTATATGCCAAAAAAGTATGGAAAGGGACCGGGGCAAAGGAAACGACAAGGTATTTAGCTGTGATTACTTACTTGCGCCCTGTTGGGTGTGAGATGTCGCAACAGTGAGGGGTTCGTGCTCAGCGACTCAGAGAGACTGTACTGTCTAGTTACTGGGAACCACCCTTGAGCGACGGTGACCGTAAACAGGCAATTCGCGGGAAAGTCAATGCGGCGCAGCCGGGCGACGCAACAATGGTCAGATGAAGAAGTCCCAGCTTCTGTCGACGGGAACCCAGGATTCAAGGTGGTAGATGGTATGATAGGTAGTAAGTAATAGGAGTTCAGATTAGATCAAAAGGAACAGAACACCCAGGCTTGAAGAGACGAGGGGACGAGGGGGACTTTAAAAGACTCCCGCGGCGTTCTTCACAGCCTCTCATTTGATATATCACGGTCAAGGTCATGCAGGGCGTCGATCCTCAATCGACGAGGCTTAACAAAGCATCTACGAGGATTACATGCGTAAACCGGTTCTTCAGCTTGGAGTAGAGGGTGAAATTAAATTAATATCTTCTTTTTTAAAGAAAAGAAAAAAGGGAATAACCAGAAACGGGAAGCGACACTAGAATAGCGGGCACACTAAATTACAAGAAGAATGGATACATTTTATTAATTAATGAAAAGGAGGGAGGGAAAAGGCAAGACTTGGTGGCGATGAAGCTAAGGCGTGGGAAGCTAAGTATGTGAAGATGGAGGGGGATGAGACCAATACAAGCAGAAGAAAGGGGGGCGTGTGGTTGGTGGGCAGGAGGGGGTGTAGTAAGTTAGTAGTAGTAGAGACGGTCAGAAAAGCATCCATCAAGGAGGGTAGCACCGTCCGGATGGGGGAGGTTAACCTCCCTCTCAATCCCATGAGCATCCAGGTACTACTATATTTGTCACCTGTCCCTTTGGCCAGGTTGAAAAATCACTAAAATAAAAATAAAAGGAACTTCATGACTCACTCGAGGTCAGCCTTTGGGAGGGGGAGGGGTGTTTTGTTAGTTATCCGGTTTATTATCACTCATCTTATCCCAGGTTGGGTCCTGGTTGGTTGCTTCCTATTACAAAGTATTTCGTTGCGCCATATACTTCCGTCGTATTAGAAAGAAAAAGGGCACTAAGAGATCAATCACTAATGCCGTCGGACTTACAACCCGACGCCTACTATAGGAGCAGCCAACCTGCTATACTTCCTTTCCCTCGATTTTAGGAACCCACCCGGGAATGTATCAGATGCCAGGCTGGGCAAGCCCCAAGCATACCAGATCATTCACCCTGACGGGCGGGACTAATGACCATGGAGCGTGAGATTTGGAAAATCATGTTTTTTCTTTTCCCATTTTTGATTTTGAAATGGGAACGATGACATCATAGTCTACTGCTAATGTACTGAGGGGTTCCTAAGGATGGATTAAATGTTTCAAAATAGATTATCGGTAATTTTTGGTTTTCATCGCTATTATTTCCCCAGGCTTTCTGCCGGAGTGCTTCATGACGGGTATCGGGGAAGGGATGAATGATCGTGGTGTACCATGTGTGAAAGGAAGTTAAGGGAAACGATCTCCCCCTGTTCAGCAACTTCAATATCGGTCCAAATTACCACTGTTCATCACTCTTGCTGCTGCTATTACTACCTAGTATGCTTCTGGATGATCATGTTCAGGATCGCTGCACGCTAATAGGACCAACGAGCGGCACACAACACCGCCTTTACCATGGAACACAATACGATGTCCATCGCACTAGGTTTAGCTCCAGGCAAACATACCGCTCGTATCTAGGAGGTATACAACCACCATGATCTTTGGAGAGAGATACACGGGGCATCTACCCGGGATACGGTATCGTCAGGCTGGGACGGTCGGCTTCCTTCGCATGTCAGGACCCTTCTTCTCATCTCATTTGCGCACGTCCATGTCGAGTACGAAGATGAGCATGGAACCGCCTCCTTGGGAACCTTACTAAGAAGCAGTCAGGCTTCCAGAAGAGACACCTCGGCGTCCGAGCGTCTCCAGGTTGGGGCTGACACAGAAGGCGGTCCGTGACACCGTGCAGCCTGTCGCCTCCCGAGAAAGAGTGCGCCAGCTTGTGCCATCTGATAGGCTTCTACTTTGAATTATGGGGTGGGGTTGGTGCAATGCGACGGCGTCCCAAGCGCAGGAGCTGGTTTAATTTCCTATTGTTTTCTCCCTTTTCCTGCTCTTGGGGTGATGGCTTCATTCTTCTCGCGTTATTCTGAGCAGTCTCCATAAGAAGTACTTCTCGATGCTCAAGCGCGCGTCGCGACAAGATTTAATTCCATTCATTCCATCATTTGCCTTTTAGCTTTTCATGCTCGATGATTTGAAATACAAGCCACCAGGAATGTGGGGAGCCTTATGATCCGGCGAGTGGGAAAACAATTGAGCTGCGTCTGGAATGCTGTCAGAGTAAATTGCCAATCGCCTTGCAGCATCAAATCAATCGGAGGGTCCTGATAGCCCGAAAGAAGCCACCAGCAGAGATTAGCCTGTCAACCCTGGTTCGAAGCGCCGCAGACACGATAGGTGGTATGTCACGATCCGACCAGCTACACCATGAACCGCGCCCACTGACCTGAATTCCTGCACCGGTCGTTATGTGGACTTTCCCCCAACAGACAATAATGTGGTATGCGGCACGGTGCCGCCATTCCCAACGATGACACCATCGTACATACAGCTGCTGGTGGAATGATGATAATGGATGACCGGTATCAGACCACAAGTCCGGTTGATTCTGCCGGATGCGGAATCGCAGATAAGCCCGGTACTGCACCAGAAGTGGAAGCCTAATGAAGGAATAGCATTGGTTCCCGCAAATCGTGCCCGTCCCGTCCCGTCAAGGTTCGGAGGGCATGGCTGATATCCACGGTTACTGCAAGGGAGTTTCTCACTACGTATGTATCTGATAGTCGGCGATGGCAAAGAGCTGATCGGCCTCCATGCTTGGTCGCCGACCCTCTTCTACGTGCAGGTGCTATTAGGATGCAGTAGCTTCTAGCTGCGTATGATATGCAGGCGAGAAAATCATCTTCTATCCAGTAACGTGTGACGCTAATCGTCTCAGAACAGCTTCTTAGCCAGTCAGAGATCGCAGTTTCAATATCAGAGAGGTAGAGGGAGCAAATATACGGGAATTCCAATTCGAGCTGCGGAATTCTTCTATCGTAGCAACAGGGAACAATCAAACTTTGAAGGAGTCAATGACCCGGCTGGCAACACCTGTCCGTTTGGTGTCGACACTAGTTTACTATCGCCTAAAAGAGACAAAAGCTCGCATATTGAAGATCTACGGGAGTGTGTAAAAGGTAAATCATTCGCTTCTGTTTTTTTGACTTTAGCCAGTTTTACGCAGCGAATGTACGTAACATGTCTCTCCCTGGAGTTGCCTGATGCAACCCAACTAAGAAGCTATCGGCCGTGATAAGCATCCTAATGCAGACTCATCATGGATAAGAGGAGATTGTATTGAGGTCCAAGTAGGCTTCTGCATCCCCGGCTGCTCTAACCAGGATCGACTGGACTAGGAAAGAAGCCAGCCGGAAGGGGTTCCAGGGCGCCACTCGTCTCACCACTGCTCCTCGGCTTCTTATTTGACGAGCAGAGAAGCCAACCATGAGGGGAGCAATGCACTTTCACAATCCTGAACAGGTTTTTTGTGGTTTCTCTAGGAGATAGGCACCAACTACAGATGACTAGCCTGTAGTTAGTGGGTGGGCACTGTCTTGACCTAGGCGACAAGATGTACTAAGGTAGTAGGTAGACTACCGATAGTTAGTACTTAGCAGTGTAGTAGTAGTGGGATGTAAGTATGTTTCGGTATGGTAAGGACCCGGCCTGGTCAGCGGAACAGGCGCCAAACGGTTATAAACCCATGGGCGGTGTGGCCAAACTCTACCATGGTCTCAAATCAGCCAATGAATTGTATCCAGCCTGCCTGCCATGGCGCCAATTCAATCAGTGATTGGTGGAGTGATTGCTCAGCTGGGTCACCAGCTCGTTTTGGGTTTAGATCCGTCACCGGGACACCGTCTCTGTCAATGAGGCTGCTGATTGGTTGTCTGGGTAGCCCACCCCAGCTTTGCAGGAAAGGGACGAACCCCCATTCCAACCTGCGACGATTATGGGCGGTGCTGGTGCTGGAAAGCAATCATCCCCGATCATTATCGCGACACCCGTGGGTAAAGAGGCTCCCCCATTTTTGACCACCACTGTCAATCACCTTTTGGTGTCTCGAAGATATCAGTTCCTGCAAGCTTTGGTATGTGACCGTATTCGACCCTTTCCTCATCTCTTTGACTGGTAGTAGTGGTGATGGTGGTGGTGTTCTGGCTACGTGCCTTGTTCTGCCTACACTCATCGCGACCACCTGCTCAACGCCCACCCACACACACACACACCCACACCCACACATCCCCCCCTCCTTTGGCTTCCCCTCTCGTCTTTTTCTTGACCTCCTCCTTCCATCTTCCCAAGTCAGATGACGACTGGCTAATCTTGCAGCCTGTGTAGAGCCGATCTCTGTCTTGAAATTAGGGTGGCCCCAGCGTTACGCCAGCTACCATCCTCGCTCTCCCAACTCCCATTATCGTCATCGTCATCGTCATCATCTTGCAGCTTCCTCCACCCTCCCTCTAATTCTCCGGTCGGTGCAGCTCCTCTCCCGGCTGGGTAATTGGCCATTCGATCTCTGCATTCCTTGCGCCGGGGTGGGAGACTAAACCCCCGATTTACTGCTCGTGGGACACACTGGGTTATTAGAACTGTTACATCGGCCGTTCGGAGATACTGTTTCAGTCTACGCTACTGCTAGGAGCACTCGCAATTTCCTCCTCTAAGAATAGGCCGATTACCTCCAGGAGGCGGAATCCCCTTTGGTGAGAGGTTACTATCGATAACACGACTTTTACGAATCGGGCAAGAGGGCGATCACAAGCTTATCAGCTTCACTCTGAGAAGAGACCAGTGGACCACCAACGTCCGAAGTTTCTATTAGCGGACGCTAGGTTTGTCCCGTGCCCAAGCTCCTCGGGAGTCTAGTCCGGTTGCGCAACAGTCATCTGGCCCGCTTTAGTTCGATCCTATCACCGCCTGTTTCTCTCTCGCCGTCGTCTTCCTCCCCCCCTCCATCATTGATATCTGCAGATCATCTGCACGCACATATTGGTTTCCGTCGTGCATAGTCCCTGCAGAGCCTTTCTCACCTTGTCACCGCAGTGTCGCTTTTCCACTGGTCGGCCGGCACTCTACACCAACCCTGGTAGCAACATTGTCCGAAGGCAAATCTCTTGCTTTCATTTCATTTCACCCTGCTCCTCTTCCACTAGGGTGTAACTAGACCCGGCACAGAAGCGAATAGCAATCATGGCTACCAATTCATTCCGCGATTCGGTCAACTCCTTGGGTTGGTCGCGACGAGACCCAGATCTCTCCACCCGCACCAACTCGTCGAATACGCCAATCCTCTCACGGTTACAGTCTTGGAATCCGTTTGGTCAAGGGGAGGGCTATCTGCAACTGCCTACTCATGAAGCTCCAGGAGCTCCCCTACCCGCCGCAAGTCGCCGAGAGGAGGAAGATACTTTCTTTGCCTGTAAGTCCTCCGAACGCATGACCGATTTTCCGTAAAGTTGCTTTCTTCCTTGATTTGCTGCACTGCCCAGTCCAGGTGACAGAGACTCAGTTCCTGCATCTGTCCGGGTTCCACGGAAGCCCTAGGAAAAGCTGAGTGATGTACTCTACTCTCTATCTACCTATGGGACTATACTTTGTCATCTACCGTTTAATTTTCCTATTTTCCATTTTTCGTTTCTTTTTCTTTTTTTTTCTGCGCTTCTACGCATTTTCTATTTTTCTTCTTGCCGCCCTACCTCCTCCTCTTTTAACTTTTGGCTAATGCTAATCATACATTCCCTTTACAGTAAGTCGATGGGATCGGATGCTCATTTTCATCGCATGCAACCTTGGTGCTGCCGTTTGCTTCCTTCTTTGCTTTTTCCTATTCCCGGTGCTATCGCTGAAACCCCGCAAATTTGCCATCCTGTAAGTTACTCTACAGATTCCCCGTCGATCTTCATCGAACTCCAATACATCCCCTACTTCGCCCACCCACCGGGGAGGGAGGCACGAGGCGGTGGAGTGCTTGTCATGCCCTCCTCGCTGGGGACTATGCACCACGCGTCTCCGATCCGACTACATTCCAGCGTCTGTGCTGAACCCCCCATCACGCCTCACCCATACTGTTTGCCAAGAAACTTCTTGTGAATCTGTGGCTGACCGAACCGGTTTTACCTCTTGAACTAGGTGGTCGGTTGGTTCCTTGCTCTTTCTCCTATCATGGGCAGTCCTCATGGGACCCTGGGTCTACGCGAAACATCTGGTCTCGGGACCACGTCTGCCCTTCACGGCGGCCTATTTCGGCTCGATCGCCATGACTTTGTACTTTGCTATCGGAGTAAGTACCCCTGTTTGTTTGGCTCTAGCTACATTTCCCAGGATCTTCCCTGCCAGACCATGTTGTCTATGCCTGTACTATCTGAGCGTACGCCTCTGCGATCGCATACCAACCTGTCGATTTCGAGGATCTTGCATACCTGGGGCGTGCGCGTACACTCGGAGCCTTCAGCCGACGAAATGACATCATAATGCACCGCCACCCCGGTCGTGGATATGATCTCTCACATCGTCCTGCAACAGTAGCAGGTTGGATGTGCATGCGCTACTGTAGACCCCAGTCGGGCCCGTGCACACAAGAAAACCAGCGGGAATACCGGTCGCTAACCGTCTTCTGTCCTCTAGCTTCATTCAACCCTGTTGACGCTCATCTCGTCGGTGTTTCAGCTGGCTGCCCTGCTCTGGTACCTTGTCAGCTACTTCCCTATGGGTAGCACTGGACTGCAGTTTATGGGAAGATTCGGAGCTCAGCGTGTCACTTCGTGGATGACCAGCTGATACTAGTGAAGCCTCGCTACAACCGGAGACCGGACTATCTTGGTCTACCCTGCCCCTCCCCTTGGGACGCACATACATTGTATACTTTTTAATTGATCGCATGGTCATTACGATAGACATGGGTTCAACGGCCGGTATACGCTTGCTTGTACAGCTCTTACCTTCTCCCTTCTTATTATATACCAGACAGCGAATACATTAGTCAGTAGTTTAGCTTTATATAGTTAGGTTGTATAATAAATATTGAGCTGTCTATATTGATGACACAAGAAAGTGGCAGCGGTGTAAACCGAAGTTTCTGTAGGGATTTACGTTCCGTAACAATAACGGAAAGTTCCCTTCGCTGGCAAGTGTGTAATATTATTCGAGTGCCATGATACTTACGATCGTCAGGCAATCAACTCCCCGAGAAAGTGAGCGGTAATCTATATGACTACGCTCTTGGAAAGAGATTTGTCTACCTAGAATTTATAATCATCAATAGAAGGGACCCCTCACCCGAACTGCCTTGCTCCGAGCATCCTCTAAAGATGTCTCGTTGGACAGCAATATATATCCAACATTTCCATAACGAGGTATGAAGCGCAAAGTCAAGAAGAATGATAACACCAAACTTCCCTACTCCGACCCTAACGAGATGATAGCATTACTAGCACGGTACTAGTATCCAAATACTCTAATGTCTGCGTGTCCTTATGCAGTAACCACCACAGAGTACCCTGATAATCCAGCATGGTAGTATGAGGGAGATATCTAAATCAAGTAGAGAGTGCATATTTACTGCTTTAAGTCATGATGAGTAACATAATGTATTTCTCCAGAAGTTTTGGACTTTCTGTTCAGTTTAATTCTATCTGCACTGGTTGCTTCACTTATCGCAATAGTATATAACAAGTATCTACCGGCTTACGGGTGGAGAGTAGTTGTAGGTAGTGTACTACTACTAGATTATTGTTGATAGGCACTCGTCAATTTTCATCCTTGGACTACTACTAGTACTTATTGCGATCTATATGCGAAGCAATGGTCCGTTTATATATATATGCGACTCGGCATGGTATTTTGGGAGTACTGATTAGTCGTTGTAATTAAATAACTAGCTGAGCTGCAGTGGATGATATGTAGGCAGTCTTGTACGTCTGATAGTATACTATGTTATGTTCATTGGTGTCTTACTTTGATGTGATTATCATTGTTAAGGGTTTCGGTAAATGTACGAGAGGATGTTTCGATGCATCAGAATCAGTATGGGAGGTGGTTTGGCTTGTTCCTTTAGATAATTATCCTGAAATTTGAAGGGTTTAGTGTAATGGTACGTATATCGAGGCTGGACTTTTCTTCTTATACTGGGAATAATGGAAAAGAAAGTATCATCCATCATAAGGTGTCCAACAAGACAATCTAACATACCATCTGGGAGCAGTAAACTAGTAAATAATGCCCGAAAAATTCTGTCACCAGCCATAGCCACCAAATTTACATACCAGATTCCCTCACAACAAAAGGCGCAATACTCGCAAGTTTCTCACAAGTCTCAGTCAATTCCCGGGACGGATCCGACTCCACAATCACTCCAGCACCAGCCTGGATCCACTGGCGCTCGGAATCCTGATAAACAGAGCGAAGCACAAGCGCAGCCTCCATGGACTGATTATCTTCGATCATCAGAATAGCTCCCGAATAAAGCTCTCTAGGTTGCGACTCAAGGCGGGAAATAGCATCAATAGCAGCCTGTTTCGGAATACCTGACGCAGTTATCGAAGGGAAGAGGATATTGAAAGCGTCCCACATGTCTTTATCTGGAGATAGACGTCCGCATACTCGAGAACCAAGGTGTTGCACGCTCCCTCGTACTCGCACGGACATGAAGTCCTCTACCACCGGCTTATCGGATAGCTGGCTGATTTCGTGCACGGCCTCTTTGACGGAGATGACGTGCTCGACGATCTCTTTGCTGTCGTTTTCTAGCTCATGTCGAAGTCTTTGGATTTCTGCCTTCGTGCCTTTGCATGAGCGTGTGCCGGCCAGAGGCTCTGTTGTTACTACCCCTTTGTCCAGGGACATGACTAGTTCGGGGCTGAATCCAGTGGCTTGGTAACCAGCATGTCGGAGGGAGAAGCTGCGTGAGGGGGTGTTAGATTGTCGACCACAGTGCAGTGCTGAAGGCATGTCCACACGTTCTGGGAGGTTAACTGGTCGAGATAGAATTATCTTGGTGTAGTAGCCCTGCTGAATTTCTGACAGTGCTTTCTGTACTAGGGTTTTGTACTGGCTCGAGTTATAATTAACGTCAACGGGTTGGATATCATGAGTGGTAGGTGGTGGATTGCGGCACCGGCATGTATCTTTCAGCAATGTGCACAGTTCCAGGACCTCTTTGGTGTCATGCCCGGTGACTAATATTCTATCTGGCTCGATGAGTACTTCTATGCAAGGTGTCATCAAGGCAAGTAGGGGCCATTGGCCGGGGGTATATTTTAGGCCCCGGATATGAGCGGCATAGTTGAATCCAACGTGCCCGTAGACTTTGGAGGTGTGATTCCAATTATCACGGAGGAATTCTCTTGCTAGATCAGATAGGGGCTTCTTCACCAGGCAGTGACGACTTGGTTCCCCGGACGCTGAAATTGTCATGTTCTCTCCGCTGGAATCAATTATCAAGGATCTGTAGGATCCAAGACCAATATGCCAGCAGTCTTTGCGTTCATAAACGTAGTACTCAGATCCATCATGTCTCTTCAGGACAGACATAACTGGTTTGAGCAAGTCGCTAGAGTGAGAGGTGAGTGTAACTGATATCTGAGTAGACGACATTGCGCTTTGGTAATTATTGTCACGCTTGCAGGTACCCGTTAGGAACGATAGTCAAATTGCAGGAGAAGATGTAGATGGGAAGAATCTACCCGGAGAAAGATGCTCGTCTTGTGTTCGAGTCGGTTGACTAGCTTCGACACTCTATACAAAGAGGAAGAAGTGCAATTGTGATAGACCGCACAGAAAGGTGCGAAACTATGTGATTTAATGGCAGAAGTGACTTCACATACCCTTTCATCACATGGTCTGGATTGACTTAAAGGGCTGTCGAGTGAGTCATTTGCTATGTTCATTTGATCATGTCTCTCAATTTACCTGATCAATTGGCCTCTAATTCACCAAATCCTTGGAAGAATACGCTCAACGAACTCGTGGATGATCTGGTATCAGATGCAGCTCAATCCACTTTCAGAATATCCCTGGCTTGCTGCGAGCATATTGGGCTTTTTGCAGAGAAAAAGCCGAATTATCGGTCCAAAACGAGGAAGCCTGAGCCCCAGTTAGTATTCGTACAGGGAAATGGTATGCGAAAACTATGGTATATCATCATCCCAGGAGTTGTATCTGCAGAATGATAATATAGGGAAAGAGTACGGGCTAATCGTCACTCGAATATAACAAAACCCTCACAGGAAAGGCCACTAGCGAGCAGGATTCCTAAAGCTGTGTGACATAGAGTTCATATTAGCTCCGTTGTTCCTTCAACCAAGAAAGAATAGAATATACTTTGCGATTGACGTCAACTTACTCTGCTGGGCCACGAGGCTCTCTCCATACTTTCATGTCGAGGGCACGGGCAAAATTGTCGTACAAGCAATTCTGCTAGAAAAGGAACAGGTTAATCCGAGCATTGGGACACGTGAAGCAGCTAGAGGTGGTTGGTAACTGGTCCAGAAGACATGCATAGTACAACCATTATAGTCTGCAGTGACACAGAGACGTAGTCACGACGATTCACCGCAGCCTGCAATCGGTAGGGAGCAGCTTGGCTTGAGATTTGTGTAACCTCGCTCCAGGGCCCAGAAGAGATCGCCTTGAATTTCTTTCAGCATGGCGTATGATACACCGGAAAGGCGAGATGTTCTTGATATTATAATTCGGAACTCTACTCTTGTAGTTTCTGTCATAGATACCGGCACTAGGCATGATGTTATCCAGGTTGGAGACAGACGGAAGAGATGGGCAACGCTAGTTGCGGGAGAATCTCGCAAGGCCCTTAAAGTTTTCCCTAGAAATTTGGACAATGATGAGTAATTCTTCACGATCAAAGCCGATCATTCCAGTAGATGAACCCCAAGACGTCGTCGTGCGTGCATACACGCAAGGAAACTTGATATACAATTGACGTGATACAATGCCTTTCAGGAGCCTCATCAAAGTTGGAGACGACAGATGAGATTAGCACGCGTGACATTATTTTCCTGGCTAGAATGAAGGATTGCGATGAACATATATACCAGTCAGTCCCCTCCATCTTCAAGTCCTATCATACCCAAACACGTGGCTATAGCGAGTGGAATTCAACAATACCAGAGAATACTTCACCGACAATGACTAGCTCTGATCTATATCCTCTGGGAAGAGGACTAACGGATTCAGTTCGGTAAGCTCTCAATGCGACCTGTTAACATTACAATCTCTTGCTCATCCATGTCTATAGGTTGGATGCTCAGCACCTTCTATGGAAGCTCCATACTGGATACACACTTCACCCCAAGATTTCTATTACTACAGACATGAAGATAGCGGAGGTTGGCACTGGAAATGCGTAATATAGTTCATTAAATTTTCTTACTCGAGGGCATGGATCGATACTGTTCGGGTTTCTATAATATTCGAGTTTCGTTTCATGCCCGACCCAGCATACAAATATACACTAACAAAGTACAGGATTTGGCTCTTTGACCTCGCCCAGTCGATGCCACCTACCGTGCAACTGCATGGCTTCGATATCTCGGAGGAGCAATACCCTCCGAAGCATATGTGGCCACGGAATGTCAATCTAGCGCTGTTGGACGCATTCATGGATGTCCCTCCCGCACTTGTTGGCCAATACGATGTTGTACATATCCGGATGTGGGCGAGTAATATACGGGATGGCAACACCTGGCCGCTGATTTCACATTTGCAAAAGTTGCTAAGTGAGTATATTTTACCGACTAAGATCTATCTCAGTATTCATCTAACAGATACAAGAACCAGGAGGCTACATCCAGTGGGAGGAGGCAGATCTCATCCACCAATATGTGAAAGGGCGTAAGGCCCTTGCGTTTGCAGAACAGATACCATGTCTATTTTAGAAGGTCGGTCTGGACTTCAGGTAGGATCTCCTCTTTTTTTTTTTTTTTTTTTTTTTCAATTGTTTCGTGTTTTTCGATGTGAAAACAAGAAAGGCTCATTGATACTATTGCAGCTGGGTAACAAAACTCCCTCGCGATTTGAAAGAAGCACATCTGGATGTAATAGAATCCAAGACGGAGTCATTCCAGGAATCCCTTGTCCAGAAGTGTACAGACACATATCTCCTTGCTCTCGGTGAGATATTGCGCGGCACTAAGTTGACATGCGCGGAAGATATTGTACCTCTGGTGACCAAGCATGAGGCAGAACTACAGGAACTTTGCGCTGAACGCAAGGATACGGTATATAACTGGTCTCCTGTCAAAATTTTGGCGCGTAAGGCTGCCTAATGGTTGGCTTAGGCTATCTTCGCTGGGAATAAGTAGAGGTGGAGGGAGAATTCTTCGGGGTTTTACCTGTGAGGGTATAGCCGGGTTGCTTTGCTGCCAGCCCTGTCAGCTTACCCAGTGTCGCAGTAGGTACCTCGATAAGACTCACATGTGAGAATTCTAAATGCATTACAGCTATTACTACTTTGACTCTGTAGAGTTCTCTTCGTTGATGGTCAGTTGGAATGTCGATAAATGCGAAGTTATAGATACAACCCTAAAGGTAGCTGATCAGTTACCCCAGCCCTTCCTGGTAAGGAATTCCTTCAGAGGGTTACAACTTACAGCTCATCGAAATGAATTTGTCCACCAACAGCTCCCTCCGTTTGTGAGCTTTACAATTGATATGAATGACTTCTCCAGCAAAATAGGATCTCTACGCAATGTTGCAGAAAGCTCATATCCTCGATTTCTCCTATCATGTATCCACTTTAACCCCTGGTCTTACTAAAGATCATTGAGTTGTAGAGTCTAGTATCCTACCTTGGTGGTGTTAACTTTCTCTCCTCAGTGATGAAGCAAGTCCATACTCAGATAGAGTACGTCATAAAGAAGTACCGCGACTGTACTCGCTGATGACTTATGATCTATGGTAAGTCTGGCTAAGCAGGTAAGCCACACGCCTGGGCAGTACTCCAAGTAGTTACTTTGCAAACACCCTCATCTACCGCAAATGATATGGTACTCCCTTCCCATTGCTCTCTATTTTGTCTGCACACATGGAATCTACAATTGAGGAGGACAGCATAAAATACTCATGCAAGGGGAACCATCCACAATACACGTGATACTATCCTCGAAAGCTTAATTCCACTGAGGAAATGTATGTACAAGTACTCCGAAGGGCTTCGGTTCGTAGTAATGTTCCCGTTTCGTGTGCTTGTTTTGTTCACCGCATACAAGATCACCAATTAGGATAATGACTTTCAAAATTTGCAGACTAAGTCATGGGTCCAAGTATACGTAGGTGAGTCGATGAGAATGGTCTGTATCGCACAGGGAGAACACTGCTACGTCCCCCTCAAAAGTTGAACGACAATGAGGGAGGTCTCTCCGGAATATTATCAGGAATGATTAACGGCGATCCCCCAATTCCGTAATCCTTCACCAGGGTGAGACTGAAAGCACGAGCAATTTGATACTCGCCCGCGGCATTTGGATGCAGTCCATCGTAACCGGCGGGACATGAATCTGGCCCACAGTCGTAGTTCTCCTGCAGCTCGACCAGATGAATAGGCGAATCTGCAGTACTCCACGCTGGGATGGCATTCCGTAGCAGCGCATTATAGATATTAGTATTGAACGGAATATCCTCACGACCCGGGATTAAGCTGCGCTGGGGAACATTGGCGATAGCGAACTTGAGGTTTGGGTTGGCGGCGCGGGCATTGATAACCAGCGTACGGATACTGTCCAGGGTGCCCGATGCATCACTCTGGAACCAAGCCATGTCATTGAACCCCAGCATCAACAACATCAGGTCTGCTTGATGTGCGCTGAGGACATCGAAGATCAAGTCCTTGTCGATGGCAGCCGCGCGGCCCCACACGGCGAAATGGTGGCGATCAAAGTCCGGGGACACGTCCGGGGCGTACCCGCCGCTGGTCTTGGGCTGGCCCAGCGTGGTTTGGTGCTCCCCGTGGGCCTGCGGTTCGGACGGCGCGGTCCCCGTGTAGGGGCCCACCAGCTGGACGGCGATGTGTTGCGCCCGGAACCACTCCCAGATTCGATACCGCCACGTGTAGTCCCCTTCTTTGCCTTGGGACATGGAGTCACCTACGATCATCACTCGCAGGGTGCTGTCATCATGCATTGTGTCTTTTGAGGTGGAGGTTGAGTCAGTCTTGCTCGCGTCGTTCATAAAGGCCATCATTTGCAGGGTGTCTTGTTCCTCCTTTCCATCGCCCAGTTGTATCGGGTTCGTGACCGGTGTCAACGTCCCAGAGTCCTCGTTGGTCGATGCCCAGGGAAATGGAGGGTTATTTGCTAGTTGAGATAACTGACCGAATGCTCCAGGTTCGACAGCGACGGCAGAGTGGACAACTGGAGCAAGAGTGTATAAAGCGGCGAGATACACGGGAAGATAGCAGAACAATCCTCGACGTGCTGGTGATGGAAGCCACCAGGAACGGCTTCCCTGAGGGCCAGACATTTTGAACTGGCGGTTGCTGTGTAATCAGGATCGGCGCCTTCGGGCGCAGGTGATGCCCGGCCATTATATAACTACTGCTAAAACTAGGTACTAGGTTCATTTGGTAGGGATTCACAAGTCTGGGGCGTATTTAATGGGCAAATTAATCCTACGCTAAACCAAAGGGAAAAAAGGGTGATATCTGGCGATAGGTATCGTGGGCACCAAAGAGGGACGTGCTGGGATACGGTATTCTATCATATTCCCTCGAGGTAACATCGAGGCTGTCTAGTGTATCGCCTAGTTCAGGGTCTTGCCACGCTAAGGCCTGCTACGACGAGGGTTCGGATATCGTCCGCGTATCATAGCCAGAAAGCTCCTCCCAACTAACCAACTGGCATCATAATCGCTACAGAGACCACCGAACCAGTTCTTCCAACAGCAGCCTAGCAGCAAACTAATTGACAGTAGGGCAGCGGCTAAAACCGACGCACGCCTCATATGACCATACAGTCCCATCTTTTAATTTAAACCCCCCGGTCAATGGCAATAGGGTAGTGTCTCACAATCCAGCCAATCCACGTTTGGCAAAAGCTTGATATCTCAGGTCCGAGCGTCAATGACTCCGCCAAAGCGACATTTACCACCACCCGCCAAGAGTCACTAGTTCGACATCTCGAGAGCCATACTTAATCTCATCAAGTGCCTGCTGGGGTCTTTCCCCTAGCACGCTCTTCTTTCTCCGGCGGAGCATGGATGATGCCAGCCAGTTCTCCGGCCATGGCGTCGCTGAATCTTGAAAGCCTTCCGGTGGAGTTGGTCGAGGAAATTGTGGCTTGGCTTGAATTCCACGATCACTGTGCTCTGCGTCTGACTGGACGCTCCGTCTCTGTCAAGTCGTCTAATGCTGCATTTCGGAAGTATTTCCTTTCCAAGAAGTTGGAAATCGCGGAGGCTCCGCTCGAGCAGTTTGTTAGCGTTACCCAGCCAGGACGATTCGGTCTTTGGGTCCAGGATCTCACTTTGTTTGCATCTATTGCTCTTCATGCTGAAGTGCCCCCCGCTAGCCCCAAAGTATTTGAGTTACTGGCGCAAGCATTTCAGAACATACGTAATGACTCACCGCACAATGAGCCTTTATCGATTACTCTCAAGGTATTTGGGAACGGATATCTGAAGGCTGCCGCCGATACAGTGTTTCAAGTGACAATGTCAGCTCTGAGGCGCTCTGGGCTGCCGATTCGGGCATTTAATGCGTTTGCAGAAGGCTATTCTCACACTTATGGGGGGCGTTGTAGCTTTCCTTTCAGCGAGATCCCGGACGCTTTATTCGGCGGCAGCACGGCGGACTTAACCAGGCTGGCGACAGTATTCCAACCATGCAGGAAGATAGGCTTAAGCTTGGCGCACTACATACATAACCTAGATTACATTAGGCCCCGGGAATCTCCTTTAAGGCCAGATAACTTGTTCGAGTTACCGCCGAGCTACGAAGAAGCCCGGGAGAACACCCGATCACTCCCACATCTTCTGAACCTTTGTCCTACTCTTGAGGAATTGCACCTGGTGTGGGAGTATGATGACTTCGAGGAGACGGCAGGAGTGAGGGAGGAGTTATACTTCTTCGAACGAGTAGTAGCATCTTGCCAATTCCAGGGCTTGAAGAAGTGTACCTTGTCCGATATTCGAATGTCCGAGGCTACGCTCATGACTTTTTTCCGTCAGCTTACTCGGCTGGTGCATTTGGACTTGACGTTCATATATCTCGACGGTAACTTTGACGGTCTATTCAGACTTCTGTCTACGGCGATGCCAGAGCTGAATTACTTGCATCTCCGGTCGCTATACTCCTCCTCTGGAACCGTTCGCTTTCTTCATGAACCGCGAAACAATATTGTGAGGTCCCCATCGTGTCGGCCATCGCGATCACAAATCCTAATCCGGAGGGGTGCAGACGCTAGGAGACCAGTCATAACCAGAACTAGTAGTTGAAGAAAAGGTCGTGATCACGTTAAATGAGATGTGCTCCCCCGCGTATTTCTCGGATTTCGAAATTGGCGCTCCTGATATTACGGAGGTTGCCGGAACCCTCCACCAAACCCTCAATCTCAAAAGAATAGTGAGCTTTGTCGTCATATCCGCTAATTCTCCACGACTTTCACAATCAATCAATCAATCAATCTACAGTCTCTTGTTTCATGCCATACTACATCTCTCCAAATGCTTGCTTTTTCTTTCGATAAACCTTTCTATCATCCAGGCAACCGGATATGAGCGATGGGCCAATCTACGGTTGAGGAATATAGAAGGAAGCGGTACTCAGCAGAAGTTCTGAGCTGCTGCACGGAGCTAGGGTCCGATCAAGAACAATTCTGGAACGACATTCAAACCACTCAAAATAAACTGAAAATTGCACAGCCTATGCCGACAGCCCGCTCTAGTTGAATACGAACTGCCTGAATGGCGAAAAGATAGCCATTCATGTCGAATGGGAAGGGCTTTTACCCGGAAAGAAGCGACTAGCAGTGTACCGCTTCGGCCAAAACAAGAGACGTGAAAACACGGAAACTATTTCCCTTGCACATGTGTGGTGCTGGATAACGACACATTTCATAATCTGAAAAGCAATTAGTGCCATTCTGGCCTCAACGCTATTTCGTGATACACCGTAAGTGCCGAACTGGTTACTGCATTGGGTTAGGCTCGACATCACCTCACACCCGCCGAAATATCAATAAAGAATCGCTACAACGAAGATACTCGTCATAACGGAGATCAATATTCCTCAATGCCGATCTACACCACATTCGTTAATAAACAAGCTTCTTGGAGCCAGGCACCAATATCCCTAAGCTCAATTTGACACCTATGTACGGCTATCTGAGTGGAGTCTATGCTCTGTCCTCAGTGGAACCGATCTGGCCTTGATGCCAAATCGCGGCTGAAGCGAGGCTGAAGGCGGGATGCTCTGCTTCTAGTCTCCTTTGCGTAACAAGCTCCGATCCCGACAACTCAGCATGGGCCTTATAAAGAGGGGATAATCTGAAAGGTTAAGTCCACCTTCCGAGCCACATACCCCTTTCAGGTGACCATGGTTTACAGAGGAAAGCCCAGTCCAGGTTGTGCTTTATGCCGGAAACGGCGCCTAAAAGTACGTCGATGCACCTTCACGCCTAGATGATAGGCTGTTGACCCTGTAGTAGTGCGACCAGGAGAGACCTGCATGCTCCCAATGTCTGCGGATAGGTCAAGAATGCCCCGGATACCAAGACCCCCAAGCCCTTCGCGTCTACGATCAGACGGCCGCTGTAACCACCAAGGCCTTGGCCCGGGCTGCCAGTACCCGCAAGGCGGCTCGATCCCCCACTGCAGAGAAGTCGAAGACACCGCCGTTGATTGCAGGGCCCACCAACATTCAAGAGCAAGCCATGTCTCACATCTTCAAGTATTATGTCGGCACTAGTCAGAACCCCGGCATCCTCTGCTACTTGCCGGATTTGCTGCGCACGGGCCCCTCGGATGCACTTCAAGCCACCATGAAAGCCATAGGGCTGGCATGCATGTCGAGGGTCTACCACTTGCCTGAGCTGGCGCGATCGGCTGCGGAGGAGTACAGCAAGGCCTTGCGGGCCACCAATGCGAGTCTCCAGGATGCAGTATCAGCTACTTCTGACTGCACTTTGGGGGCCGTGGTCACGCTGAGTATGTACGAGGTAATGCGTCTGATTTAGATGTGAGATTAAGGTTGGGTTGTTAATTCCTGGAAAAACAGATTATTTCGGGCCAATCACAGATGATGGCCGCTTGGCTAAATCACGCCCGAGGAGCGTTGAAGCTTCTTGAGTTACGAGGAAGGAAGCAATTCGAATCAGCAGCTGGGCGGCGCCTCTTTAGCAGCACACGCCTACAGATTGTTAGCTATTCCCCAATTGTATCATAGGCGCTAATACTGGGGTGCTAACATGTCGTTATCAGGCTATGATCAACATATTCTTCAGGACGAGCTGTCATCGCTCGCCAACGATAGCTGCATTATCAAAATATGCAAAATCCGTTGGTGATGCTGATGCTCAGACAGTCGAAGACTTTTATGACATTTTAGTCACATTCAACGATCACTCCATAAAAGTAAAGGAGACCTATAACAACACTGGCTTCCGCGGAAACATCGCACCGTTAATCAAGGAAGCCCTCGACCTTGACGCCGACTTAGTCTCATGGGCGACTTCCCTAAGCCCAACCTGGCAGTATTCAACGACCAGCACCCCACTGCCATTCTCACACTTCCGTAGCCACGACACGAAATATCACGTATATCCGAGCATCGACAACGCAGTGTACTGGAACCACTATCGCCAAGCGCGGATCATTCTCCACGAGATGGTCCAAGCAATGTGTCTCCATCAAGCAACTCCTGATTCACCGCAGATCATGCACCAGTCCATCTCTATCAATAAACAATTGGCAGAGGATATCTGCGCTAGTGTCCCTTATTTCTTCACCTCAGGCGAAGCTGCCCTTGGGGCCGTCGCGCGATTGCCATGGCCTTTGTACCTTGCCTCTGATTGTGCGGGTGTTTCGCCTCAGACGAAGGACTGGATTATGCAGATACTCGATCTTATTGCAACGTCTACAGGCGTGCAGCAGGCGCGTATCTTGTCGCAATTTGTCAAAACGGGCAATCACAGCTATTTGTTGATTCCTGGGAAGCCGAAAAGAGTCGTTGGTATATAGGTGGGGAGCGGGTCTCCATAGGTTGTTGGTCTTGCATATGATTCAATCTTTAGTACTGCTTAGTTGCAACCTTCACAAGCAGCTCGTAGATATGATTGATCTTTTATTGCTCTAACAATCAGAATATTCCTGGTACCGTATTGACTTGTTCATGTCCCCTAAGTATCAACTGACATGCCTCTCACCTCCCCCACACCTATCTCTCCCTTTTCTTTCTCTTTCTTCATTAAGTATAACACTGATCTATTTCGACAAGCCATATCCAAGGGATATATTCACACCAAATAGCTTTTCTGATACTTCATCTCCTTAACAATTACTCCTACTACTACTAGTATATACTAACAACCCAAATTATATATTTACAACTTCCCCCATCTCTGTGTGATATTGCACTCACTACTAACAGCTTACTGCTTATGTGAGCCAAGTAATGGAAGACAGGGCACACGGCCGCGCCCACGAGGCACCTGGTCAAAGGCCCCCCTCGAAGAAGACTGTCGGACTCCCCATCTTGTGACTTCCGGTTTCCTTGCATCTGTAGAAAGTAACTAGCAGTAGCATCATACAAGAACTATTAAATTGACGTTGTTACAGGTAATTAAGAATACCCTGCTAGCTTGCTCCCCTTTTGCAAGAATGTGATGATCTATTACTTATTATTTTATTTTATCTTTACTTCAATCTAACCATCCTTTGGTTTCCCGGAGGCAGTTGATATATTTCTGTTGAGACATTTGTCTTCCCGCTTACTACTCCGACTACTAGCCAGCAATATATCGTTTTGGCGTACTTGGCAGAACTGCTGCTTTAACATACTAGCATCTTGTTTCCATCCTCCCGGACTGTCCGCAGAATCTCTTTCATCTGATCATACAAGCCTATATTGTCCACCGTCCATGCAATTCCATTGGGGAAGACCGCCTTACGCAAAGCGTTGACGCATGGAATAAGGGCCTTGTAGTACTGTGTGAAGTACTCATCTGCCATCCGCAGAAAATTCGCTTCTTTAAGTACGAAGCCTTGTTTCAGAAAAGCCAAATCAGATGTATCGGCAAATCTCCATTTGTCAAACCTGGCAACAACTCTTCCTTTCCCCGGGCCTTCATAGTGGATGCATATCCAGAAGATTACCCAGAAGAATGATTCAAGGTCATGCATGAAAGAATGCTTCTCACCTAGAAGTGAGCCGATTGCCATGAATGCCCTCGTACCGGTCTTAGAATTTGCACCCGAGGCGTCATCTCTTTCCTCTCGGATGGCCAGATCAAGATCAATCAAGAAAGCCGGCCAGGACGGGTTATTCACGTCTTCGTTGACCATGAGTTTACTGGCTGAGATGTCTCGGTGAAGGATCCCTACCTCGTGCAAAGACTGATGCCCTGCAATGCATCCCTCTAACGCGGCGAGCAGGCTTTCATGAGTGCTTGCCTTGTAAATCGGTTCACCATAATCGCGCAAGACGATACGGCGGTGGGCCCGATTCGGTAGTTTATGTGGACTGCCGGGTGCCTTTGACGATCGTACTCGCTTGCTAGGCGGTATGGAGGCATCTGTTTGGCTAGGAGTTCGCTTTACGCCTGGTCTACCGGTGGACCGACTCTCTCGCGAGGTATCAGCTACGCTGGTGTCGGCCGAAGGTGGTGCCAGTCGCTCTAGACAAAAATTGCTCGCAGTCCTGATATCCAACCCGCCCCGAACGTTATCCTGAATGTCGTCAGTCTTCCCGCGAACGCAAGCAGTGTTGTGGTAATAGTGCCGTGCAACGTTGATCACCCCCGGTATTGGTAGCCTCTTGAAGTAGATCACCCTCGTCGTCCCGCTCCGTATATTGCCAGGAGTCCTTGACAACGAGTGGAACCCCAGGTTCGTTTTCACAGTACGCTTCCCAGCATGTTGTTGCTCGACCTGCGATACAGGGTTCCCGTTTCATCAATCTTTTGAGGACGAGAAGCTGGACTTGGCCACCCTGTTCTATCTCGATGCAACGCCGACCATCTTCTTTCATGATGATCGTAGGGTCAAACCCGTATTGCTCATCACTCATCCATAGAAAGCCGAGAATGATGAACACAAATTGGAGACCGTCCTTATTAATGTCGAACTGTTCCGATGCGACTCCCCCAAGACGATCAAAGGCCCATATCCTCATGAAGGACCCACATAGGGTAAATCCAAGAACAAAGCGGCGGGTATCTTGAGCCAGAAGGACTTCTCTAGCATACCTCCCCAAATCAAGCCATGCCTTTGAAGCGGTATCGGCTGCTGGATTCCTCTTCAGCTCTCCAGGCACGAGGATGTCTGACCATTGACACCTGGTGTCCTTTCCTGCATTGATGTCACTAACGAAGCCAATGTCCAGCTTACGCTCTGCTGTAGAGCCTTGAACAGGCTTGTTAGGCTGAGCTACTGGCCTTCGTAGCTGTGCTGACTCTGGACGATAATCTTTGGAAAGTTCAGCAAGTTTTTCAGTTATATCTGCAAAGCAAGTCAATACATCTTCTTGCTTTGCAACTTTTGGCCAGTATTTCCACCCATCAGCAGTAAAAAGCGCATCTTTGCCTTCGGTGCATATTGTAAATACGGCATGGGATGCTGCTTGGAGACCACTGACGCCTCCAAAGAATGTTGAGTGAAAGTGCGGGAGTCCCACATACAGAGCTCCAAGCTCAGCCTTGAGGACACGATCAATATCTTGGCGGAATTCGGAGGAGTTTGCGAGGCTACTCGTATTGTAGCTCCATGGGGTTTGTTGGCTGGGGGAGGCAATTTCTCGTCGAGGAGTGGTGTATCCAGGGACTGCGCCATGAAGACATTCCCATACATCGCTATCTGGCGTACAAGCGATAGCTGAAGTCAGAAGAGGCCTTAAGCGGGAGGGGTCAATTGTTTCAGACAGAACTGCAGACTTCAATTTGTGGATATCGTTCAGGGCAGTGGCACGGCTATATCTCGTCGTTAAATCGCATATCGCAGAATGTTCTAGGACCAACAAGAATTGAAGTGTGAGGCTTTGGATATCTGCACACAAATTTAGAAATTGGGAATCCCTCAGAAATATCATGCATCTTTTTACCTTTCCACGGAAGATTATTGAGCGCGTCTGTCGTACAGGAGAGGCCTGTTTCTTCGCAGATCGAATGGAACCGTGCGACAAAGTAGTCCTTATTCATAGCATCCTGAAAGATACTTTCTTCTCCTCGTTTGACACGGTCACCGGCGGCCATGTTAAGACAGGTCTTCATGGCAGGCCTTTTCCCCAAAAGGGGGGGTCCCGCCAGCTGCGGGAGCTGGTAAGTAGCTTCTTGATGATGGTGAAGACTGCCTCCTTCGTTGCGCTCCGTGTATTGCCAGCAGGAATCTTTAACAACGAACGGAATCCCCGTGTCCTCTTCACGATACGCTTTCCAACGGGTTGTTGCTTGGCCCGCGATACGTAGAATGTTATAATAATATTTGTTGAGACATACCTCTCCGTCTGCTCTTCGGTTCTTCTCGAGCCACAAGATAATGAAGAAGAAAGGAAGAGAGGGGAGAGAGTAGGCGTGCGTCTTAAGAATTTTATAGGTGTCTGGCTACTGTGAATGTGTCTCAAGATTCACATACTATGAAGGGACATTCACGGTCGCCTGGCTCTTCATCTTCCTCCTCTTGTTTATGCAGTTAATGGGGCATATAAGTGCAGTGCAGTGCAGTGCCATGCAATGCGTGCAAGGATTTGGAATACTAGATATCATCTCGAGTTGTGAGTACAATATCACATAAAGACAGATTGGTTGCATACGGTTACAGTTGTCTGTCTATATTCGAATAAAAATTTCTTCATGGAAATGGAAAAGCCATTTAGAGTGAATACATCATTGATTTGAGAAAGCAATTTGAGTATTGACTAAGTACTCTAGTTCAAATGGTTAGAAGACAGGACATGACCAGATTCTAGAGATCTGCCTTTGTCACAAGAAAAGTCCAAATGCAGCGCAGTTGTTGCCAAGTGTAGGCCAAAGCGATATATCGCTGGCTACTCGGAGCGAACGGGGCGATGAACGTCTCATGAAAAGAATATATCGAAGCGAACTACTATAACTTTCGGTCTCCCAGAATTCCACATGAGACAATCAAATCAATTGAAACTACAGTCATCTAAGATGATTCAAGTGTGAAGGGAAAATCATGATCCAAATAGCCCTTGATTGTTTGTCTGCTTTTGACCACCCCTCTGCGACTATCTGTCACTACTTTTAGTACTTGATATAATGTCTTTTACAGTAGAGCGAGAAACACTTGCATGGTGCCAAACTAGGCGACTTTCATGTCTATGATAACTAACTACTATGTACTTTTCCTTTGCAATCATCACTCATGACTCGTCGTCATCAGTCATTAACTTATTTGCCTCGACTCATCACCACACCTACTGTTCCCTGTACGACCTTCACGCCTGGGATCTCGGCTTCCCAAAGCCCCGTTTCTCCTCCCGAGCCAACTTCATGCCACCACTTCAACAGATCGTTGCTCTCTTTTGGCTTCACATCGGGAGACGCAGTTCCCACAGTGACATGGGGTATTTCGTTTGCGCACGGCCATTCTGCTAAGTTCTGATCATCTGGGGGGAATATCCGTGCTACAAATGCCATGAGACGGTTGTCCCATATGAGACGCTCAAGACGTACGCGAGCCGGAGCCAACGTCGGGGTGATAGTGGGATCAGACTCGGGCTTGCTCTTCATTTTCTCGACGTACTGGCGGACGTATTCGTCCCAGATACCGGGGTGTTCCTTTTTCGAGGCGCGGTGGATCAACGTCACATGGAAGGCGGGCTGCACGCGTCTGCTGTTGATGAGCTGTCTGTAGAGACGTGCTTTTTCGGGGGATGTAGACGGAGGGAACAAAGATTCGAGGATACTTTTCACCTCTGCAGCGGGTAGGGAGATGTTGAAATACTCGATCTTCTTGGCCAGGTCTTCGGGGGTGGGACCGGCTGTGGGTGCAGGGCTGCCGGGATTCTGATTCTGGTTCTTGTTCTTGTTCTTCGGTTTCTGGGATCCGTATTGATGGCTCCAATCCAGCTGCACTTGGTATTCGTTCATCGACCAGTCGATGGCGTCATCCAGTTGCTCTGCTGTCGGAACTTCTTTCACGAGCTTGGGATAGAATGAATGTAACGCTTTCACCACTGTCTCCAGATTCTCCCGGGAGGAAGCACCAACATCCAGGTCAATTACTTGGTCGAAGTAGCAGTCTGGCTCACGGTCGGTGTCAACAGCCTCGAACCGGTTCAGGAAACCTTCCATGATTCCGATGACCTCCTCCGGATTCTTGCTTCCCGCCCGGATGGTCTGGTGGTTGTCTCCACGGTCAAGGACTCGTCTCCGCGTTACCTCACGGATGCCAGGAAGTAATTGTCCTTTAGGTTCGTGGACGTACTGGAGTGCGACATAGCGAGCTTTGGAAATCACAACCGACACATCGTCTATAAGTTGCTGCCGTTCGCGTCGCATGTGGTTGTTCCGGTCTGCTATCACCACAGGATGTTGGGCAAGGAGGTTTGTAATGTCCAAGGAGAATTTCTTTGGCTTGTTCTTCTGTTTCGGAATGTTATCGTTCTGGACCTGTCCCCATCCAAACAATTTGCAAAGAGCCAAAGCCACTGTCGTCTTGCCGCAGCCCAGGGAAGCAACGGGGACAAGAATTACGTCGTGTGTCACATCGCCGGCTTCGTCAGACTCCATTTGGATGATCTCAGATCCGTTGAGGCCTCTCTCTTGCAAGAAACCCTCTCTCAAAGAGATGATGCCGTGGTTTTGCTGGTACTGTTGTGCGAGACCAGGGGTTTTAGCGAGCTGTCTTCGCGCGTAATGGAGATACTCCTCAGTGATCTTCTTGTGCTTCTTGATGTTAGGAACCTTTCCTGCAATGACTGCCTTCGTGCACTCCCGCCATTGCCTGTACATCAAGTAGGGCTCTTCGAACTTGTACTTGAAGAACCAATCCCGGTAGGGGGGACGTCCTCTATCGCCCATGTGGCATCGGACCACAAACCCCTCGGTCTCCCGGCCATCCCAGGTGCCTGTTTCGGCGCAATTGTCGAGGAATTTCTTGACCTGGTCGAGGTCTTCATACACGACAAAATTGGCCTTCTTAAATCCCCATGCATCCGCAAACTTGTGTACCTCCGAGCTAGGCTGCGTGGCAAATTGGGGCACGTTGAAGTTGAGTCCATGCAGATAGATGCCCGAAGCGCTTTCGTCGTAAGCAAGGACATGCTCCTCGAAGGTGTCGTCACAGAGCTCGCCTACTGCGGTGACATTGAGTCTGCGAAGCTCTCGTGCCAAGTCCTTTACATTTCTTCCAACAGAACTGACATGTCGCTCGACCCAGCGTTCACCAGCTTGAGCATGGCTGAGGTTTGTATCAGACCGAACACCCGTGGAATGCTTGCTGCAGACCAACAAGGTGCCATCCTCAAGACCAGAAATGAAAATGATACATCCGTTCTCCTTCACACTGAGCTCGTAGGGACCCCTAGTATTCATCTCGATGTTCCTCCACTTTGTGTCATTCACCTCGTCCACGTTAAAGAACTTGTCGTATCCGCGAACCGCAATCTCCTGGGTGCCATCCTTCCTCTGAGTGGTAAACAGCCCTCGCGCATAGGTCGGCAGATCGTCGCGTTTATAATCCCAGTCCATGAACTTCCACGAATGCACCTGGATTTTGTCTGCTTTTTCAACGTCGAAGGTAGATTTCTTGCACTTGAACCCCGACTTCTTCCCGTGAGCTGTGCCTTTCCTGCTGGCAGCCTCCAGGCTGGTGACCAGCTCGGCGACTTCCCGCTCGTCCTGCTGCACCATTGCGATCCGTCAAATCCGCGCGTATTGAATCCAAGCAATTACTGATATTCGTGCGTTGCACCGGAAAGAAGAGAAAAGGTCGGGATGCGGGAGGAGGTGGGGGGGGCAGAAGGCACGCGCGGTGTGTTGTCGACAAGGCCAGGGAGTAATTGCCCCTAGATTTTAACAAGGCAAGCTCTATCTTCCCAAGCAGAAGCTTGTCCCAAGCTAAGATACAGCCTTGCGCGACGAGAAATGACTGGGGAAAGTTGAGTCACCGTCAGCCTCGTTCGGGGTCCAAAAGTAGGAGTTTCTTATCGATGATGCGGGGCAGCGATCCTTTTGAAAAAAGCGCTTTTTTCCGCCCGCGCCACTTTCATCCGCCCATCTCGATTCACTGAACACATCCTGCCGTCACTTGCCCATTACCACTTCATCGGAGATTATTGTGTGACTCAAGGTATGGCGCTACTTGCCTAAGCCTCCATACATTATCAGGCCTGACTCATTTTCTCCCTCAGACTAGTGAAACCGTCGCTATGATTCAACCCAACCCTTACGTTCTGGCCGCCGACAACCCGGGCGCCGTCCTGACTCTGTTGCAGTCCAACCCCTCCATCGCCTCGAACCAGGACGAGCACGGATATTCATTACTCCATGCTGCGGCTTCATACGGACACATCGATCTGCTACGCGCCCTTGTCAAGGACTACAACGTGGACGTCAACCTGCTCGACGAGGACGGTGAAACCTGCCTGTTTGTGACGGAAAGCCTCGACATTGCGAAATGCCTTGTTGAGGAACTGGGCGTGGACTACAACAAGAGAAACGACGAGGGCCTCGCAGCCTATGAGACTATCGAGAGCGATGGCTCGTTCCCGCAAATCGCTGCTTACCTGCGGCAAGTCGCCGGTGTGCCAGAACCTGCCACTGACTCGGCTGGCGACGCACTAAACCCGGCCCCTCCGCTTCCCCCGAATATCCAGATGAACCTGGGCACGGTGTCGGAACAGGAGGCGAGTGCAGGAATGGATGAGGTCGACCCCGAGTTCAAGCGGCGCATCGATGAGCTTGCGGCGCGGGAGGATTTCCACAGCGAAGCTACGCAGAATCAGCTGCGCCAGTTGGTCATGGATGCTATTTCGGGGTCCGGCATTAACACTCAGGAGCGGGATGTGCGGCGCAGGACGGATTAAGGAGAATCATACAGCAGATTGCCAGTATTCTGCAGCCCTCTGGCAGTAGTGGATACCCATTTTCCTGCTTAGGGATGTCGGAGGTGTTCCGGAGAGGCCGTTTACGTCTCGCATCAATTCGCGCCTAGGGCCTTTGGACCTGCAGATTGAACAATCCCATCATACTGCTATGCCGCACCCTATGTGGTCTTGAGCATTGCAGGAGAGAGGGCCTTCTGACTGATAACCTGGTACATGGAGAAATGGTGCCTCAATCAGGCGGCACTCCATGAACAAAAGACCTACACATGCGCCCAACGCACGCGAACAGAGCATGACAGGCAGCTGAAAGCGGCAGCATACTACCTTATGTGACCAAGAATAATACCTTAATCCGTTTACAATCCCCACAGTCAAGTTTATAGTCATCTAGTTGTAGCCTCTTAAACACTTTATACCCATAACCCACCCACTCACGTGATGATCGGCCTTCCCCGCATTTCGGGCGTCACAGCAAGTGCTGCTCTTGGCTTCGACCAATCCCTCCAATTGCTGCCTGTCCTCAGTCTGTCTGTCCACCTATTCAGGTATTTTCCAGCTGTCAGCTTACCTCCTGAGCGTCCCTTCATTCGCCATGAACCCAGCACTTAACCCGGACACTCCTCCCCCGCCTCCTCCGAAACCCAGCAGCCACGAAGCCAGCCGAAGGGGCACTCCGTCGCATCCAGGAACACCACAACAGTACCAGGAAGGACAATATGCACAGGACCGCTTGAATATGCAGGGACAGAGATACTCTTCTTCCCCGGGAATGTTCAACCCCGCTGCCTCGCTGAATGCGCTGCCTAAGCCGCCGACGGTGGAGGAGGGCTGGCTGCCTGCTGGTGTAAAGGAGAAATCGTACGTTTAATTCATATTCCTTGCTGTTTGTCTGTTTAATTCGGTGTTGGGATACGGGCTAACTGGTACATGTTTATGTGGTTGCAGGACTGTCGACCTTCAGACTATCCTTCAAGATCCTAATCTCATCTCCGCACTCTCCAGTAACCATCCTTCGTATACGGCGCATCAGGAAAACCTACAGACACTTCTTAAATATAATAAGGACCTTGCGAACCGCTTGCTGGAACTGCAGACTCATGTCGGGGAACTACGCTCTTCTACAGAAACCCTTCTTCTGACTCATCAGTCGCTCGAGGTGTCCTGGCGGAAAAAGCAGTCTGAGATGGATGCTGCACTGGCGCCGTGGTCGCCTAAGGCTTTGTATCAGCGGCTTGCTGCTTCGATTGCTGAGCAGGAGGCGGTGTGTCAGGCAGTGGAGGAGAGCTTCCTGGAGGAGGAACATCATGGACGGGCCACTGAAAAGGAGGTCGGCGATTGGATTAGACGGGTCAGAGCGGAATCTGCCAAGTTGGCGGCTAGGAGAGAGGCCAAAGCTAGGTGGGATGAGGGGAGGGTTGGAGGGTGGAGGTGACATCTATGTTGACTTGGCAGCTTGATGGAGGTGATGGCTTCAATTTGAAGTCACGCCTCGGCTATGGCACCATCCTAGCCCATGATTTGCATATCTGCATACCACTGGACGCGGTGGAGAGGGAGAAAGGATGCAAAGGCTACTTAAGCCGACAATCTGGGGAATGTAATGTCAGGTTAACCGCAGTGCGGAGGGATACTGTTCTCATCGCTCATTCGCGCTCTGTCGACCACTTTCCAGATCAACGTTCTGTGTGCTGCTCTCTACGGCATCGCGTTTGTCGCTCATCGAGACCCAGCTGTCGGTAGAAACGTGGCTCGGGAGTCCAACGCCCATGAAGAACGCATGTTTGCGACTTCTAGCTCCCCACGACCAGCCCGCACCACGAATGATGGGAAGCTGATACAATCGGAAGCCAATATACGCGAAGACCATTCCCATGACCGATCCGAATATGATATCGAAACCATGATGACGATAGTCGAACCAACGCGATGCAGATATGAAGAAGGCCACAGCGATGGGCACTAGTGCAATGATGAGCATATAGACAGGAGGAGCGGCACCCTGGTTTCGAATCTTTCCACGGTCCTGTCTTCCCAGATCATGGCTGAGCGGCGAATAGGCCAGGAACGGGAACCCAATGGAGAATTTAGCACTTAGCCAGAGAGCGAGATACATCAATCCCGCGAACGAAACTAGATAGTCCCCATGTCAGAACCATCCCACCACTCTCATCTCCCTGGACATAGATAAACTCACTCGAAGAATGCCCACTCGGAAAACTAGCAAACCCATCCACCTTCAACATCTCATCCCCCTTATTCCGACATATCTCCCACGTCACCATCGTAGGCGCACCCGCAAGTCTCCTTCCCAACCCCGAAACCGCATACTCATTAATCGCAGATATATCCGGGTCACACCTGGCCAGCATATCCGGCCTCGGCTTCCCATATAGATCCTTTAGTCCCTCCGTAGCCATGAACGTTCCCGCAAGGGCGACTCCTAAGCCCATCCATCCTGCATTCCATTCCCAGAGCTTTACCATCAGTTTCCGTCTTAGTATTTCTTTTCGTGCGTTTCGACCACTAGTGCCGGCAATGGTGGTAGTATTCGGATTGATGAAGAGAAAGGAGACGAAGATGATAATCACAGCTGGAGCTACTATCGCTACCACGGCTAGCACGCCTGTTGAGACTGTATCTTTTTCCCTGTGGGGGAAGGAGATGCTTGGGTCGGTGAGGGAGAAAGGTCGGTGGTTGGGGGTGGTTTGGGAGAAGCCAAAGCCGATGAGAGCGACTCCGCTGGAGTATTATTAGTGAGTAGTGCCTAGTCTGTTGGGGTTTATCTGGAGTATGGAGGACATACATGATGAGAATCCAGTCGAGTATGTATGAGAGGATCAGGCGCTTGGAGAATTGTTGGTATGAGAGTCGATGATGATGGGCTGCGGGTGGAGGGGTATCCTCTGATTTAGAAGGTGTCATTGTCGCTTGGTAGTATAGTATTATATTTGATGTCTGTTGCGATTGGTATTGCTATATATAAGGGAGCTGGATGATTGGGTATGTGGGGTTGATATAGTAATTGCGGAGTGAGAAGCAATAGCTACTTGGGTGGTCCGGATAGTACCTCGTATGTAACTATATGTATGGCAGGTGACCCGACCAGATGAGAACAGCAAAGGCTACGAGGTAAGGCATTTCTGACCAAATCACCGGGATAGTGGTACGGCATTGTTCATTGAACTCTAATTTTACCACCGTTTTAAGGCGTGCTACCGCTGATCTACACTATATTTACGAGGGATGATGAACACGAAGTTCGTGGGGGGTTAGAGCGGGCATGTGAGTAATATTGTATTCATTGCAATTCATTTCCTCATTTAGAATTAATAGACATGTAAGCTGCGAGATTTCAATTTATTTCTGCTTGCCGTCCAAGTCGCCGAAGAATTCTCGGCCAAAATCGGCGCTGCTGTCGTTGAAGCGGAGCTTGCGATCAATGCCCCGGATCTTCTGTAGATCCTCGGCGTCTAGCTTGAAGTCGCCTTGGAGGTTGTCCTTGATGCGAGACGGAGTCTTCGACTTGGGAAGTACTGAGTGTCCTTCGTTGATACCCCAGGCTACAGATTGTTAGCTTCTTTCTTCGCGAAGACAGCTGATGGTGACATACCAAGTGCTACTTGGGCAGAGCTCTTGTTGTACTTCTTGCCAATCTCGACCAGCACGGGGTCATCGATCAACTTGCCAATTGTGCCCTCGCGAGAGTATAGCTCGTTCTGGTTTCCGAAGGGGGAGTAGTGGGTGACATGAATCCCTTTGGACTTGTGCCAGTCGGCGAAGCTACGCTGTTGTAGCCATGGGTGGCTTTCAAGCTGGTGGACTGCAGGAACGACGGAGGTCTCCTTGAGGAGATGTTCCATCTCTGCCTTAGAGAAGTTGGAGACGCCAATGGCTTTCACCTTTCCGGTTGAAAGGAGCTTCTCCATGGCTTTGTATGTCTACCAGAGATGGTAAGTTAGCGCATTGATCTGACGTAGCTGGTGTTGTGTACGGGGGTTGAAATACATACATCAACATAGTCAATGTCGTCCACAGCTGGCTTGCCACTCTCGTTCTTGGGGAACTTCTCGGTTCCTCTCTTAAAGGCCACGGGCCAATGCATCAAGAACAGATCGACATAATCCAAGTCGAGGTCGTTCAACGAGTCCTGAAGCGCCTGCGCTACGTCGTCGGGGTGGTGCTTGTTGTTCCAGAGCTTGGTGGTGATGAAAAGCTGGTCACGGGGCACTCCAGACTTCTTGATAGCTTTTCCTACGGCCTCTTCTGTTCCATAACTGCAGCATCATGTCAGCGTACCGACTTGATTCGATGAGTCGAGCATGCGAACTCACATTCTGGCAGTGTCAATGTGGCGATAGCCCGCCTTGATGGCTTCAAGCACAGCTTGCTCCTGTGCCTCTGCGTCCTGCCAGGTTCCAAAGCCAACGGCGGGGATTTGTGCACCAGTGTTGAGCTTGAATGTGGTCGACATTTTGTGTAGTATGCGTCAATTGGGATTGGCTGAGTCAATGGGTAGATACTCTGTGCTAGAACAACATCCGGCCGGGAAGAAGGCCCCTTATATGGCCATATTCCAGCTCATAATAGCATTACAAATTCCCGGTGAATGCACCATCATAAACAAGGATCGACGTCAAATTGACGCAGATAGAACTTTGGGTTTCTGTCGGGAGAGGGCCGATGACGTTTTGAAGCGGACCCACTAAAGCTCCAATCCAGACTGGCCCTCAACGGAGCTTCCAAAGTTAATGTAACAACGAGTCGCAGTCAGGGCACATTACTCGAACGTTTCTGGACGATTCGGAGCCCGACATACTTTGCGCCAAAGGCGTGCTCGGTGGGGATGGGGGTTTACCTCAAATTTGTGTTACCAAGCAGGGCACCTATCCTCGACTGTGGGTCTAGTCAAGATATCCTGTTGTTAAGTCGCTCTGTACGCAACAGATCCTGAGAGGCAAAGGCGCTGCACAAGTGCTAGATAGCTGCAGAAACATAGGGCGGCGGTCGCTTCGTATACTGCATGTCGTGCCATATGATTTTCCTCCGGGGCTCAAATACTATACCAAACATCCCATCTTTGTGAGCAACGATGGCTGAAACCCATTGGATGTGTTTACTTGTGGGACAGGCCCAGAAAAGGCATTACAAGGTGCCCATATCTTTCAACTAGAGCAAATCGACCATAATCGAATGATTGAGACGTGCGAATCAATTGCTAGGTCGACATGACGCCCGCTTCGGGGCATCATCCATAAGGCTAGAATAGGCATGACAGCGATCCATGAATGGTCCCAAGGCAACCACTGTGCCATATACAGCGCCATATTAAGTACCCTGTTGGCCGATTTTCCGCCAATTCTCCTCTCCCATTATCTCAATATTGATTTGAGCCTTCCCTGAGGTTCCCGGTCCGATCTGTCTTGCAGTATCTTATGCAGAGCCGTTGCCGTTTTCGCTTGTCGATCTCTCTGTGCCTCCACATTTGGTACGGTCCTCTGCACGCAGGTAGATCAAGACAGGTACGATGAATCGCGATCTAGACACTGTGAGTGAGTGTAGTTTGAAGCATGCATGCATATAACGCATCACATCATCTCGAAGCCTTCCCACGAGTCAGATGCAGATGAAAAGATATTGCACTGAGAAACATCAATAGCGCGGTATACTTTGTAAGTATGCCATCGACGGATTTGACTGATATCTGAATAATTACCATCTAGAGCAGGGCTCTCATCACCTCTGGGTAGACTTGAGGGTGTGCAGTGAGGAGGTTAAGCATCCACGGCAACATCTATGAAATGGTATGAGCCTTTGACTTGCTACTATCCCAGAACCTTGGTCCCAATGATTCGGAAGACCAGCTCAACTGTTTTCGTCTGGTACTAGTACTAGATAGTAGTAAGAAAAACACCTTGCCGAAGCCGAAGGGCCGGTTGAAGTGGTTAGGTAGTATAAGCAGTTTGGGATAGAAGCTGGATTTGGTACCCAGCTCATTAGTAAGTCTTAAAGTCTTGTACAATTTATACCAGTCTGGCAGTCTCAATTTCTAGCCTTTTCAGCAAAAATAAATCAGAACTAATCAAGTTATGCGCTAGAACAAGCGAGTTTTAAGGTAGGAAAGCGTAGAGTTGATGAGGAATTACCCCGCAGGATTGAGCAAGCCATTATCAAGCGACCTGGTGAGTCTCCAAGAATGATTAGTTTGGTGTCAATTCTGGCAACTCTTATAGCTTCAGAAGACTTGTAAATGCAGCATTTTCTAGACAGTAGGAATTGGTAACAGCAATAGTACTAGTTGGGTGGGTCCTCGACAGTGAAGTGTTTGTTTTCCGGTCAAACAACGCTCTTGGTGATACTCGCTAGCCGTGGTGTTAGCTGCCCACCTATAAAACCGCGGCGCAACCCACAATAATTTTTTTCTCAACTTGCCCAACCTTGCAACCGCATCTACAACATGCACTAGTCGACAACCCAACCTTCTCAAGTTGGTTTACTGGCATGCTCAATACAGTCAATGACAATTGATTGTATTTGAGCATGCCTTGTCAACATCTTGTTCTTCAGATGTAGTCTAATGGTGACAAACATCTTCGGACAACATGATATTTGATTCCATATGCTAAAAGGTATGCGAGCACAATCTTCTATATGCTCTCCCCCTCCTTGTATGATGACCCTATGACACGCTTTAAGGCATTCCTCAAACTTAATCACCATGTGGAATTCGTGTTTTAACTCAAGTTTCAGCCTTGTCTGACAACTACAAAATAACTTTATTGCATCACTCAGCCTGTTTGTGACCATTGCTAACTTGCTGGTGATAGGTAAATACCAACTATTCTATATCTATGCCCTTGTTGGCCGTCGATGAAGATACTTTGAACGAACGGGCGGACAGAACGTGTGCATTGACCCGCATCCATCAAAAGCAAAGCGTACAAACTTTGCGGGTGTTGGGGAAGTGTACACATTGTTGAGAACTCGTCACCTGAGCTTTCATCGATCGTTCTGCGATTACCAGAAATTTTCGATTCCAAGTCATACTAACAAGTTATGACAGGTACTTTCATCCTCAATCACCCTCTCCATATGCCCATATATCCAAAGTCAACATTACATGATGAATCTTGTTATTCACACTGTTTGATCCTGCACGCCATGTGTTTGGAAATGAACATGTTACGAAAAAATCTGATTTAATGAGGTTGGTCCCGACCATGTTCCTGATACCAATGCGCTCGTGCTGACCCGTTTCATAGCCTGACTTCGTTGACATTTCAATGCTTGTGTCACTCATGCCATGTCTTGCATGTGATGCTAACTCTGTCGAAAAGTAATAGGGAATATTCTGTGTAAAATTTCTGTGACGCTTCGAAAGTGTGAGTATTTCCTGTTGTGTTTCCTTACATTGTTGCATGATGAATTCTTAAATCGCTGTGTTCTTACCGAACCACCTTGACGAAACAACAAAGATTCACCTTGGAGAACTGAACTTCTCACCCATACATGTTTATGCATCAGTGTCTGTGTATACAGCTGCTAACATCGCATTGTGCAGGTCACGCCTATGAATAGCTACTATAATGATAATGATAATGATAATGTGTTCATTCTTCACAAATAATGCTCCCACTTTTCTGTAAAACATAGGTCGACATCTCTCGTAAAGCTTCGTATCATCGTCACCTTGGACCTCCATCTACTCAAAGAACAAGTTGTGCTTCTTGTGCCAGTCTTCCAAGCTGTCCTCTGGATAAACATCGTATACCTGCTTCTTCCCCTCAGGCCATCGCACCCACGCCGGCTTAGAGCTCTCCATAAGGCAGACCATCTCATCAGGGACCGGCAGTTCGGTATCAATGGCCGAAGCAAAAGGATGAATGAGCTCTGGCCAATGGTGATCCCACAGCCAAAGCATGGTGCTGCAATTGGAACAGAAATTCCGCTCCGACGCACAGATCTTCTCATCTGGTGTGCCTCTCGCCATGACAGCGGAATATTTCCTAAACCGGTCAGCCCGAACCGCCATCCTTCAACACCCATCGAATATTCAATAGCAGACAAAACACTACGAGGTTATAAGCAGACAAACATGACTTACTTGATCAAGTCCTTTCCCTTCTTGATCTTTAGGCTGTCGGCAATACCGCCCAGATTGACGCTGCCACTGTACCCGCCTACCTTTCGGCAGATGCTACAGGCGCATAGTTGATAGGGAACTGGAGTTGACGATTCGAGTGTGAACTCAACGCTGCCACACTGGCAGCTGCCTTCAAGTTTCCTGTATTCTTTGTTAGTATCAATTCGACTATATTGCTCGTGTCGAGTTTGCGTGTTGTATATGGGAGTCTATCGCTATGTTGGGGCATACATCGGCATATTTGTCAAGTGTTCAAGTATTCGAACGAATAGTAGAGTATAGTCAAGTGCGAAGCGTAACTTGTGTTACCAATAGTAGTCCAGCCTTGCTCAACAGGACAAAGGGATCGCGACTATCTATATACCAGGACCGTGCCCTTCCGGGCTCGGATGCAACAACGTCATTGGTATATAAGAGACATATCATGCAAACTCGGATTGTCTGGATCCATGAGGGGTTGGGCCAATGACTCTGCACATGCAAACTTGGATTCGCGGCTGCGCTCGGATAGCGCGCTGGATGCCATGCAGCTATTGTCGCCTACTCTATATCCATTGGTCTATCATTTCTACCTCCGCATGTTGTTGCTGTTGCATCGTCTTGCGGTTGAGTACCCCGCATTATGTTACTACAGCACAGACAGAAAATCATCCTCAATTGTATGAAAAAAGAGGTATATTTAGCACATAATAGAATCTACTGGCTCTTTTCCACAGGGAAAATGGCGTTGCTAACCCAGTATCACTACTTTGTCTCATTGCATGACACTCCATAGATCAGCAGATGTTTGCTCTGTTTGTCTTACTGTTTGTCGCGATTGTTCTGTTTGTTCTTATCGGACCGCTCGCCGTGCCGTTTTTCAGCAACTATCGTGTCCAGCGATTGTCAGATACAGAGGAGGGCACACCGGGCCAGTTAATCTATTAATTCGTCATCAATTTAATTGCTCATCTTCGCCGTACCCCCATTTAGCCATTATGGGTTTCGGAGCTCCCGGTGGCGGTGCCGTCCCCGTGAAGCCTACGCCGTGAGTTATACCCTTCCCGGCCTTGGAATATACCTGCAGACAGTGAACAGCCCCGGAAGAACAGATTAAGCTAACAATTATTCAATGATTCAGTCCCGAGCGTGGAAGCTTTCCCCTCGATCATGATGGTACATTCCCCGTGATTCCCGCCCAAATTGCAAACCAGCTTATCCCGCCTCAACGGCAGCGTTGAGCTTTTGCGCGAACGCTTTCTCTATCCACTCAATCGACGCAAACATATAACTGACATTACTCTTCCACTGCTGGAACAGGCGAATGCAAGCATCTTATTACCGACTACCTCAAGTGTCTGAAATCGAGACGAGGTGTGAACGACGACGAGTGCCGGAAACTGGCCAAGTCTTATCTGTCTTGTCGGATGGACCAGTATGTTCTTGGTTTATATATGCTATTGAAGGAGTCATGGCTAATTATCTGCGACTTACCTCTAGCAATCTAATGGCGCCGGATGACTTCAAGAACCTCGGTCTGATTTTTGAGAAGGATAAGGCTACACCGAGTGGGGGTGCTGAGGGTGCGGAGAAGAAGGAATAATTCCCTCCTGCCTGCCTTATATGCAAGATAGCTTGGGGAGCTGTATGATATTGTGGGATGGCATGGCTAGTGTATAAACAGGGTGCCTTGTGCTATGATTGATGATGGATGGATAGATACTTCTCCATTTCCGGCGTTGGGATTGCGGTTTTGTATATAACATGTGTATCATACCTAACTTTGATGTGCACTCACTTGGAGTAATCCAAAACAAGTATTGGGGGAAAAAAACTAGTATATGTACAACTCTTGACAACTGCCTACTCCGTAGCGTTAAAGCAATAGACGTAACCATGCAATGTCATGCGGGGAAGCCGACCCGCCAGGACACCAACCCCAAAACGATTAAATCACTCCGCCCGTCCCAAATCACCCAAATGCTCCCAGCAATCCAACTCCCAACACCAACCTACGACCGATGTCGTCCATTGCACGGCCACCAGACCCCTGCCTGGTAGCAATCATCCTAATAGTGCGCTCACGAGCCGGTCCTCGCTTCGTCTTCCACTACCCGCCCAACCCGCTCAGCGAGAACGGACTCCGAGGGGCGCCCAAAGCGCGCCGACCTTCACGCAAGAATTCCAAGAGCAACGAATCCAGCTCTAGCGAAGACAGCAGCTCCACCTCCAGCGAAGATGAGGACGAGGCACCAATAACGGCAACAGCAGCAGCTCCCGCAACCACAGGGACTGCGACACAGCCAGCCAATGCGACCCAGAACGCCTCGCACATCGCAGGCAGTCATCCCGTGGCAGGAAGACGGTCGAGTAACTTCGGCGTCGTCGACGATGCAACCATATCGGGCTCACCGGGCGGCGAGTCCCAGCGTGCAGGCTCAGTGGGATCAGGGAGGGGGTTGATGATGCGGAAACGAGGGACGAATTCCGATGCCGAGGAGGATGCAGGCGCCGCGTCGGATAGACAGGAGGATGAGGCAGGGCCGTTCCGACCACCGTGGGAGTCGTTGTTGGGGCTCCCTGCGGATGTGTGGGAGAAGTTGTTGAGTCCGTCGCGGTCGTGGCATAAGCGGCGGTTTGAGGTCGGGATTAATGATTTGGCGTTTGTGGGGTGGCCGGTTTTTGTGCGTGAGGATGGGACGTGGAGGAAGCAGAGGAGGAAGAAGAGGAAGCCTCGGGCTACTTGGGAGGGAGGGGAGCTGGGGCATAATGAGACTCCTGGGGATGGGGATGGGGATGGGGAGGGTGATGAGGCTGGGACTGAGGATGATTCGCCTGATCGGGGTACGGAGCTTATTGCTGCCTCGACGGAGACGTTGAGCCCGAAGCAGATGGCTACTACGGACAGTCAGCGGGCGTCAATGATTAGTGTTAGGTCGTTCAGGACGTTGAGTGAGGCACTGGATCCGGATGATAAGGATTGCATGACTATGTTTAATGTCGTGTTTGTTTTGGATCCGCCGTTGTTGGAGTATTCCATGCGGTTGAGGGAGATTTACGACAATATTATTAAGAAGTTCTCGAAGGCTTTGAAGTGGGAGCAGGCTCGGACGGATTATGTTTGGAAGGAGGCGCAGCATATCTCACATATCAAGGAGAAGGCTAAAGAGAAGCGTATGTGGTCCTGTCGATGTGGCGCAGGTTTAGTTGCTGACGGAGTGATGAACAGGAATGTCCGTGAATAGCCTCTATTCGGAGCTAATCAGCCAGTCCTCTCTTGCAAGAGCTATCTGCACTGTTTTCACCAGCATATCGGCCTCCAAGATTGCCTCAGTGTCCCTCAGTCCAGACGTGTCCATCTCACTCCAGATACCACCTTTGACCTCGACGCCATGGCTTCCTGGGCCGACTGACAAGGCATATCCGGGACTCTGGCTTACAACGGCAGACAGTGTCACTCCGGTCGACGATCCCACTGCCGATGAGAACACCGCGCCCCATCAGGTCCTTGCTAAACACTTTGCCCTCTTATTGCTGGACAATGAGGCATCGATTCTCAAAGACGTTGAAGCATCCGGGGGCGCTCTGGCTCCTGCGCTTGCCCATTATATTCGGTGCTCGAAGCCAACGAAGTCGTTTGCGCAAATCTCTGTATCATCCGGCATACCGCTTTCCACAATACAGATGCTGGCTAGCCATCTAGTGTATTGGAGAAGAGCGCGAGCAATCCCTCCACTCCATCAAAGAGATACTTACATCGTATCGCCGAACTGCGATCTGAGCAAGCTTGAGGTAGCCACAGCGGCTTATCAGGCAGCGTTCCCGACACTCCCAAGTCTCCCAAAGATGCTATCAGCTATGAGCGGAACGCCCAGACCATACGGAAGCTTCATTCCAAGCAAAGACCACAAAGACACATACTTCGCCATTTTAGCGTGGCTATTACGAGGTGGCTGGGTCACTCAATTGCGAGCCTTTGCAAGAGTCAAAATAAGCCCTGAAATCAAGATGGCAGTGGAGACGGCCCTTCGACAGGAAGAAGTTGATAAATACTTGAGCAAAAGGGGATCGGCGTCAGATACCGAGATAAGGGAGGACCTTGATGATGCCAGTTCATCTTCGTCGTCATCACTGGACAGCAACGGAAGCGGCGATGAAACGCCAATGCCAGGTCGGTATAAACGGAACAACGAGCTCGACCTCTCTCATTCTCTCCTGGACCAAAACACTTCCTTAAAAACGTCGTCGCTCATTCTTTATCCACACCGTGCATCACCATTAGAGTCCCGATGGTTAGGTGAGGTCATGGCGCGGTTCCCCGAACTTCAGGGCGACGTTCCCGATGGGGACCTTGAATACGCGGGACTCCGGACATCGCTCAAGAAGTACTGGCCGACCTTTATCAAATACTTCAACGGGTATGACGCGCTCGAGAAGATTCCCGTCCGAGAGAGCCTGAAGCGCAAGCTCGTATGGCAGATCCTCATGCGCCTAGGATTAGTGACAGGGCAGCAGTCATCTATTCAGTTGGATCCAAGGGAGCAGGTTCTGGTTAGTGTCCGACATTGGTAGAGACGACTTATGATTTATGGACGACAAATATGATCAAAATATAACATAAGCCTAATGTGCAGCTATGCTCATTCACATAGAAGACAATTCAATTCTTCATAAAAACAATACACAACATCGAAATCAACAAGACTATATCTCCCAATCCAGCATCATCGCACGTGATGACACCCCGGCACACGGACGGACGGAACGGAACCACCCCTACCAACTAAATACTTTAGCGCAGTCACAAAGTAAACTAGTGTTCTCGTCAACGCAACCCAAAGCATGCAAGACTCTCCGCCGTCGGAAACAGGAAATATCTCGGCCTATGGTTGGCAATTGTATTTTCGGCTCGGATCCATTCATCTACCTTGGGCTCTCCGAGGAATTCCGAAAAAAGGAAAAAGAGGGGAATAAAAAAAAACTTAATGCTTCCACGAGACCAAATAATAATAATTATTGATCGCGCGCGCGCGTCTCAGCCCTAATTGACGTGAACCGCAGCCTGGGGCTGAGACTTGTTAAGCGATAGTTTGTTAGGTTATGTAGTTAGTTAGTACCATTATTGAGATTGGTTGGTTGCATAAATTGTCCGGTTGCGCCGGGCGTATCCGAGGTTAGGTAGGTTGGCTTCCGCTTCACTGATATTCATTAGTTAGTACTTAGAGAATTGTTTTGTAAAGTAATATGTCGGTCGTGTGATTGGATAGGTAATGTGAATAAGTCATTGCGGATAGTAGTTGTCTTTTGGTTGAAAGGAATGGATGTTTGTTTATCTATTTATTTCACTTTGAAGAAGGACGGTGTGGCGCGCGGCTGGCGGCGGCGGCAGTGGTGGTGCTGCTGTTGCTGCGGGATCATGCATGGGATAAAGGACATTATTGTAATTCCGTACTGGAAAATGAATGGATAGATGGACGGATGGCTTAGACTTGACTGGCTGGCTGGCTAACTGGCTGGCTTGTTGGGGAAGGGAGAGAAGGAGATCAATCAATAAACTCCGTACCTTGTTGGTTGGTATGGAATGCCCCTGCATTTTACTGCGTTCCCTGCCTATTAGTGGTAACCATTATAGATGAATGATCTCGGAGGTTTTTATTCTTTAGCTATATGGCTGGTACTGGGTATACTCTGCAATTGTTTGGGAAACAAAGGGTTATGTAATTTGGCACGGGTGGTTAATTGGATTGGCTTCAAGGGTCCTTATAATTACTGTACTGTTTGGGAGAAAGTTGGTGTTGTCGGTCCTTTCCTTTACAGGCTGCATGATCTAACTTCACATTGTATTGGAGTTTAAGGCCACTTGACTACATTGGGTTAGAGTGGTGTTTGAAGTTGATACGGTATGAAGCAAACTTCGGAGATTTGCGGTTGTCTAGTTGATTAGACTAGGATAACTTACTAGTACGTAGATGCGTACCCTTTTGAGTGTGAAATATTAATGGATTGTCAAGCTTGAGGGTATATTAGATTAGTATTTGGAAGGCAAAGTGGGATTAACATTTTAATTTCTAGCATTCATAGCTCACCGACATGTGTCTATTGATAGTTCTCCGGTATTCAATGCTTGGCATAGCGAGCATGTTCTTTGTTTGACACGGTTGACATGGGATATAACCTTACTTAGATGCCCGAGCTTCAAGAATGTCATTGATTTACATGCCTGTTTGCATAGGCTTAGTGTTAGCTGCCATGATTCAGATTTCTTTGCTTACTCCTGTGGTCTAGCCAGGTGGGTCGGGGCACTGACAGTAGATCAGGTTGGAACTGTGGCTCACTGGAGCTTGGTGGTAGTTGAACTATATGGTTTGTATGGTCGCACCTGGCTAGTAATATTAAGTTTAGCATGCCTTAGGGGAACGAGTCTCATGACTATACTGGGAACTGATATGAATGGCATATTGTCATACCTGGACACTAAGATCGACTGTTACTTTTGAAGCCTGTGTGGGGAATGTGATAATCCAGAATCAAGAGTATGACAGACATTTCAGTCTCCCACTTTCCAAGCGTTGTGACTTGATATAAAGTTAATTATCTACCTGATATCTGATCGGGACCATTGTCGATGAGGAGATTTTCCTACTGGAGCTACTGGCGGCGTAGAAAACAGATTTTCAACTTGCCTGTGAGCTCGAAGTGCGAGTGAATCAGCCACCCTACACCTTCCACCAGCGAACGATCTCGGAATAAAGATTGAAACAAAAGACAATGATTGTATTGCTATTGGTTGTTAAGATGCAAAGAAATCATTGCAGAACCAGGCACGTAGCTGATAGATCACCTGACTAGTCCTAGCACTCCAGCACCGATAAGCCACCTTACCGATGTTTCCAAAACCCGACACCCTTATCTAGAAGATGCATTGGGAAGGCAGCAGGATGCTCACTTGTTATGCATTGTGATTATAGATATTGTGCTCTGTAGGACCAGGACATCCCACGTCCTATGTAGCCTGGGCGTGGCCTAAACGCATAGTGGGTATGGTTCAAATTAAAACCATGCCTAAACTACTACGTAGTAATTGCCGTTATATTTCCTGGGTATTATTATTCGCTTCTCCTCCATGTTCCTCTCAACGCGGTTGGATCAACTCGACAAAATGGAGTGGCCCGGAGCCCTTGACAGAACCAGTGAAAAAGGCCTACCAGATGATGGCATCAGCCCCATCCATGCATGGATCACAGAACCCCTCCGAGCCCCGCCATCAGTGAGGTAGCGGTTCAAAGTCGCGCGCACCTGCAGTCCATTGCATTTTCGGTAAATGAGGACTTAAGCCAAAGTGGTTAGCATCGGAGACGAGGGGAGTCTGCGAGGTACTAGAATTGTGGTCGTGTCACTTTACCCACGACCACGGAGGGTATCTGGTGTCTTCACAAGACCTGATTATGTTAATTAGACTTCCAGGTGTCAAGCATCACGAGTTGACTACTTCCTCGTTCGAGTTTAGGATGACGATTGGTAACAGAGGAATGTGTATTTCGAGAGCCGAATTGAAACCGGAGACCATTACGGTTAGTGCCGCTGGGACATCCGAATTAGGACAGTCGCCAGTCAAAGGGTTTTTTTGGGCTTGGGCATAGAGGGGAAGTGAGGGGTTGCTGGAAAGGACTTGCTGGGAGTCAAAGAGTGGGATGACTGGCTGGTGGTAAGCTGCCACCCACGCATTCTCCCGACCTTCAATCTCATAAGCCTTGCCCACAAGACAGACTGGTTCGGAGGTAGAAAATGCGTTTGTTATACTTACTACCACACTGGTTGTTGGTAATAATACGGCCCGCATGATAGTTATGGGCGGGCATCATATCTAGGGATACCGACAGTAGTAGTCCTCGAGACAAAAATACTACATTGGATTAATTCCACCTCTTTCTTATTTGCGATTGCCGTATTTCCGATCCAAAGAATTTAATGAAAATACCCATCAAAACTCAGCAAATTTCATTAGCAATTCAAACTCATCTGCTGGTACTTACATACAACTTCCAGATCTTTACCCGGAATATTTACCTCCAGCACAAGTAAAAGGACGGTTCATACCCACAACAACCCTGGAGTCCACGAACCACATCGTGAGACGACGATGTGGGTATATGGCAGGAATAACAATTTTCACTACTTTTTTCTGCGATTTTTTACTTAATCCATTCTACGCCCTTACCTCTTTCTGCCCTTGTGTGAGCAGAGCCCGTCCTGCTCTTCGGAACTGTAGGAATTATGGTACACACTGGGTACCATTGATACCCGTATTATTTGGCAAGACAGTTCTGTTTTTACACGCGGAAAACTCGATTACTTTACTGTACCTTGAAAGTAGAACGAACCTCCCGTGCAATTTTTTTTTATTAACCCTCTGTTGGCGGATTCCACAATTCTGACTAGTACTTACTTTTCTTGCCTGCCTTCTTCGGCTTTTCCACGTCCCTCCGGCCTGTAAGTGATTATTCCATTATTATTTTTCGTTCTCTTACACACACAGTCTCTACCCTTCCTCTCTCTCTCTCTCCTCTCTCTCTTCCTTCTTGCTTCTCCCCTTTAACCCCCCCTCTTCTCTTTTCCCCCCTCCCCTCTTCACTGTTCCAACATTTTGGGATTCTGTCCCTCCCTGTGGTTCCCTCCGTCGGTTACCCGTGACCTGTGTTGCTATAGTGAGGTGGTGCTCCATTTCTGCAGTGCGCCTTTTTTTCCGTTCCCCGAGATCCTCCTTCACACACAGACAGAGGTATCCTTGTATTCAGCGGGACCACCCATCTACTTTACTTTTCTTTTTCCTGCCCATTTCTCTCTTCGTTGACAAGTTAATTTGATCGTTGATCACTTTCTTCTTGCTCAGCCTATTTTTTGTTTTCTCCGCACGGGTCCTGCCTCGAACTTTTTTCCGTCGCAGCTCCTTACATTTTTTTTCCCTCTTGCCCTTCCGTACCTGGCAAATCTAAAAACCCACCAAGTTCAGTAGCGGTTGTTGCCACGTGCAAGTCGCGCCTCGTTTACGCTTTATAACACTTTCAAAGGTGCAAGGTTAACGAGTTCTCTCGCAAACGACAGCGTATATCGATTCTTTACGTGATCGTCGATACGACACCAAGCCAAGAGGCAGCGCAGTTGGATTCTCCGACGGCCCGAATATCATAACCGCACACCGCGAGTGCTTTTTGTAGCCAGTCTTACAGCAAGCACATCGAGCGAATCGGTTAGAAACCTCCTTTGGACGCCTTCCTACCGAAGCGATCTCGTCTCACGATTTCCACATCGACTCCTGTTGGCCCTTCCTCCTTCGCCGTTTAGCGGATCTGGACATAAATTGTGCCGTGCGAAAGCATTTTGGATGCGATTTGTGTGCTAGGTTTCAACATTAGTCAAGGGATCTTTCGACTACATCTGTTGTTACGCTACACTTCGTACTATCGACCGCGTCTTTAATCGATTGGACAAACGTCAGTTCAGCTGTCCGCTACCGAATAGGTTCAATAATTCCGTGTCGGGAAATTGCGTTTGGTGGGGTTGCTCAAGGGCAACAGGCTTTTTCTGATTGCCATCGTTGTTGGAGTTATTCCAACCAAACTACGGTTGACAGCTTATCGCGGAGGTATCTGTTCTCTGGCAGAACTGACTTCTTCGCTTTTCTCTTTTCTTCACTAGAACGGGCTTCATAGACCGCGTTTATTTCCCACGTATCGAAAATGGCCGCTTCATTTTCTTACGCTCAAGCAGCAAAGGGCATTGCCCCCGCGCAGTCCCCAGCAAAAACATCACCGGAAGAGCAGACCCAAGCGGGTTCGAAGCCGGAGGAGCAGAGTGTGGACTCTAGCTCGCAGACGAATGCAGATGCCGTGCCTTCCAAGGCCGAAACAGCCCAGGAAACTGAGGTGACCCACACTATCGAGAAGGAAGTCGAATCTACAGCTACCAAGGCCAACGCTTCTGAAGCATCAAGTGATGGCAACTCTTCCACGTCATCTGTCCCCAAGGATGAGGACGGAACAGATACTCCCAACGGTACTTCGGAATCTACTTGGGACAACAAGTCCCAAGCCTCGGGTACCGAGAAGACGAATACTGGAGCAGACAGCACGAAGGACAAGAACGCTGAGAAGGAAAAGGCTGTGCCTGCTAAGGAACTGAAGGCTGCCCCGCTCCCTTCCGTGAACATTTGGCAGCAGCGGAAAGAGGCGCAGGAGGCCAAGGCCAAGGCCGTTGCCGCATTGAAGCCTGCCTCCAAGACGGGCACCTCGAAGACTGCATCTGCCGCTTCCTCAGTGTCTGGTGACCACCAAGCCGAGTCGAAACCGGCCTCCAAGAAGAAGGGATCTGACGTTCCTTCGGATGGCGCCAAGGACCGGAAGAAGGCTGACGGAAATAAGGCACGTGATGACGGCGCCAGCATCCCTCCTGTTGGAGACGAGAGCCTCTGGCCCACACCCCAGGTTGCTCAGGGTGAAGAGAAGAAGAAGGCTCAGGAGAAGTCCGAGAAGACTGAGAAGAGCCCTGTCATCCGCCCTCACGGCAAGGAGAAGTGGATGCCCGTTCCTTACGTTCCTACCGCTGTGTTCAACACCCCTCTTCCCTCTGCTCGTAGAGGCGGAAGGGCTGCCCGCGGTGGACGCGAAAACTCCCGCAACGGAACACATGGTGCTGGAGCCGGTGCTGATAAGGCTTCCGGCCAGGCTGCGCAGGGCTCTACGCCAAAGCAGGCCACCTCTGCTGACAGAGGAAGAAACGAGCAGAACTCCGGTCGCGCCAACTCGCTTCCCGCCCAGTCAAGGCGCTCTAACAGCGCTGACGCTGGACTGCCAGATGCGCGTAAACACCAGGCAGCGGACCGCAACCGCGGGCCCAAGGGAGAGAATGCAAATGGAGCACCGGCCGGAAGAAACGCCAACGGGGCGGACACTTACCCCCGCCACCATGCCAAGCAGTTCGCGAAGGGCCATGATGCAGGCCACAAGGGTGGCGAGCATGGCGCTCGTAACCCTCAGCTTTCTGTGGATTCCCAGGCTGGTCCTCGCCAGGACCGTCGCTTCGAGAATGGCCCCAAGTCGGCAGATTTCGCTAGCTTCCACGCCGATCGCGAGCGCAAGGAGAAGGACTTCCCTCGTGAGTCGCGTCCCGAACGGGGACGAGGCGGACATCGGGGAGGCCGTGGAGGCCATGCTGGCTTCAACGGTGCTCAGAACGCTCACTTCCCCAACAACCACATGTCGCACCACAATTTCATGCACCCCAAGTTTGGCTTCAACGATCGCCAGAGGTCGCAACAACATGGCCCTGTCAATGGTTCTGGAGGACACAGAATGAACATCAGGTCGCCTTCCCTGCCGAATTCCACTGCCATGTATGGTGTCTACCCCTACCCTGGTGATATCAACACGATGTACGGCTACCAGCCCATGCATGCTGGGCCGATGACCGCATATCCCTATGGCCAGTACTACGACCCTTACTCCCAGATTGGCATGATCTCGATGCAGGTCGAGTACTACTTCTCCGTGGATAACTTGTGCAAGGATCTTTTCCTCCGCAAACATATGGACTCCCAGGGCTATGTTGGGCTGGCTTTCATTGCTAACTTCAAGCGCGTCAAGAGCTTGACCGAAGACTTCGAGCTTTTGCGCCATGTTGCTCGCCAGCTGAGGAGCGTCGAGTATGTTCAAGCTGAAGATGGGCTGGACCGTCTGCGGCCGAGAGACAAGTGGGAGCAATGGGTTCTCCCTATGGACCAGCGTGACCCTTCTGCCCAGAATGACGGTCCTTCTCCTAGCAGTTCTTCGAAGCCTGAAGACGTCTACGTTGATGGGGCTGTCAATGGACAAGTCCTTAACGGTACCGCTGATTTCCACGGTCCCAAGACGTCGCTATCGTCTACTGCTCCGGAGTTTTCGCCTGCTGGCCCTCAGAATGGCCAAACTGAAATCACAAATGTACGAAATCCCCTGTGATGGTCGACTTTGTCCCCTTCTTCGTTGCTACTTTTGATGAACGACGGCCGTGCTGTTTGTGCCCAATTTTGCACAACGCATCTGGCAGTCGAAATTCTTCAATCCTGTTCCCAAACTTGTACGAGGCATCTGTTAACGTTTCTAAACAGCAGGCTGAATAATTTGGTGCATTGTTGAATTCTCCTTTGTTCTCGGGATCCCAGCAACTGTCCTTTCAGGTGTGCAATGACTGAAATGAGTTCTTCGGCGAACACCACTGACTCCTTGGCAGTCTAATCATGAAATATGCGAGGCCTGAACCAATAGGCTGCTCATATGTCAGATTGCGAAAGCTCAAGATAACCTGGATTCGAGAAGAACGTTTCACTAATCTGTCTCTTTCCTTATTTTCGACGACTTCTACACGCTTCGATTACGAGCACTCGATAAGCGATTTTCGAAACGGCAACCCAAGACGGTGACCGTGGAATGGATGTTCTGTACCAAATCTGGTCACGTTTCTTGGTCCAAAATTTCAATGCACAAATGTACAATGAATTTAAGAGTCTAGCGTTTGATGATTTATTTGCACGAAACGTCAGCGGCGGCTTCTGCAGTCTTCACCTTTTGCGGCAACTTTTGACGAGCGACAGGGATATGAGAAAGCTCATCGGTTTTCAATGAACTGAGGAAAGGCGATCCTCTTGATACCCGAGCTACGCTTAGGCTGTCTCGGACCCTGTTCGCTATGACGAAGTCCCTGTCCGAACCCGGGGGCACCAAAGGACCGCACTTGGGATGCTAGCCTGAGAGCCGAGCTGAAAAAGTAATTATGTCGTTTGTTTTCGTTCTCTATCACTCTTCCATTTCCGCTCGACCTGTCTCCTCCATCATCTATGTTACTATTGTTGCTTTTTGTGCTCATGACTTGCATTTATCTTCTTTCTTCGCCGACATGTGTCCATTGAA